CAAATTCTCATTTATCAAGATTCATGACAATGCTATGCTCACTTAACCGTTCAAATAACGTCTTCAGGTGTGACGAGTGTTCCTGCTCGTCTTTGCTGGCCACTAGTAGATCACCTACACAAGCATATATAAAGGAGAAACTATGCAGGACCTGGTCAATAAAACGTTGAATCGTCTGAGTTGCAATCATTAATCCGAATGGCATGCGTGCAAACTCGTACAATCCAAACGGTGTGGTGACCGCTGTTTTGGGAATATCCTCGAGATCTCTCAGTATTTGATAGTACGCTCTGATCAGATTTATCTTAGAGAAGATATTTGCATGAGACAAATTACCGGTGAAATCATGAAAATGTGGGAGCGGATATCTGTCTGGTATGGTTTGGCCGTTAAGAGCTCTATAATCGCCACAAGGACGGACATCCGAAGAATTCTTTTTTGGCACCATATGTAAGGGTGGTACCCAAGGGCTACTGGAAGGGCGTATAATACCTAGTTTCAGCATTTTGTCCAACTCATTCTTTGCTTTTTCTAAGCGATTGGGATCAAGACGTCTCGGACGCACGAATACAGGATGCCCTTTGGTTTTATGTGATGCACCACTCCATGCTTCACTTCTTCAGCTCGATAGGTAGGTTGGGTTATGCAGGGATATTGATGTAATAAATTAGTGTGAAGACAAGTGGTTTGACGTGGGATGGATACCAAATTCACAGATTTTTCATTTGACAAAATCTTGTTTATGAAAATGCTCTGTTCAGTGCTAAAAAGCCTATTATTTTTAGCATCTACTAATAAACGGTAATGTCGTAGGAAATCAATGCCGATTATAGGTACTCAAACATCTGCTATGATAAACTTCAAAGACAACGGAGTAGTGAGTTCAAGACTCAATGTGAATTCTCGTGTTCCATACGTCTTTATTTCAGAGTTGTTCGCTGCTTGTAACAGTAGCTATGTGTCTGGGTATTGCATTTCTTTGTCAAATGAAGTTACCACACTAACTTCTGCCCCTGTGTCAACTAAAAACTGTGCACCAGCCGATTTGTCAGTTACATAAAAGAGAAGACTGCTAGAAGTGTTCACACAGGCGGCAGCAGTCGTCACAGACCACCGACAGGTTCGTTTCCCCGTTGATGCAGTTTACGGAAGTTACATGGGAAAGTGCAATGTCTGGCATTTCTTCCAAATTTACGATGGTACCAGCACGTGGTACTTTTCGACGCAGTTCTAGCCGTGATTTTGTCACGACTGCGGGACCTGCTTCTATGGAACATCGGTGACCATCGGTGTAACTGCAACGCCGTCAGTTGTCCTGTAAATATGTCGATCTTCCTCTCTAGAGCAGCTACGCGGTCATTTTGTGTTGGCTCAGCAATACTTTCAACCTGTCAAGGCATCTTTTTGTACATACGGTTAACGATGTCAGCCAATCTATCAATCTCAACGTCCACATCTCCGATAGCTAATATCTGTTGAATACATGAAGGAAGTCTCCGTAGCCAGAGCTGATAGAACAGGCGGATGTCAACGTTCCCATCTTTCAACAGACTGCATATGTCGCTTAAGTTGTGAAGGTGTTCTGTCACTAAGGCATACGCTACTTAGTAGTTGATCGACAGCTTTCTGGTTAGATAAAGAAGTAGCTTTCATCACTTCCTGCTTCAAAACGTCATCAGGTGTGTCTGGGTGGGGCTTTAATAGTATTTCCCTTACTTTTTCAACCACTTTTTCCGGTGAAACAGAACTTGCATATCGAAACTTTGTGTTTTGTGAAGTTATATGATTGGCTTTGAAAAAATGTTCTAGACGAACGAACCACAATTGCGGGTCATTAAGCTTAAAAGAAGGCATAGGAAGACATGGCACCCACGGACCCTACATTCGAAAAATCCTGGTTATGAGAGTTTAAAGACATCAGTACCGGTGCAGCAAAAATACAACAATGTTAAGAACTTAAAATCATAAGAGTGGGAAAAATACAACAAACAATTATGTTAATGCCTATCATAAAGCAGCTGGAGATATTCTCAGTATATATATCCGTATTGTGTACAGTTATTAGTGACTGTGGTTGCGGTACACAATTAAAAGCAATAATAGTATCCACCAGTAAAATTTGCGAAAGTTTGGTCACGTCAGGCTCACCAGTTTAGTACGTTAGCGCAATTATCGAGTCTAATGGATCTGCGATGAGAGATAATGCGTTCAGTTCGTGTATACAATAGGTCCAGTTCCCGTTGCTAGTAATTCGATTAACAACGACGCATATTGAAAAGACAAAAACACAAATAATGCAAACGATATATTTCAAGTGGACTTTGATGGGTAAACCGAAAACGAAAAGAAGCGCGAAGTGTACAAGGGTTGAAGAAAGTGTGTGGAAAGTTCTCAAGCATTCTTGATGAAGACAAACATCTCAACCATGTAAAATGTCTAAAAATTGAATGATACATTCTAAGGAATAAATTAAGGTTAATACAATATCAAAGTATACAAGGTTACATGAGGGGATCACCAATCCGAAGACGAAGGTTTGTGCAAATATTCAGTCTTTAGAAGATCTCAAAAAGCAAATACAACTGCGACCATCATTTCACCAGTAGTCCTCAACTAATGATTCCTTTCGTCTCGAAGACCTCAACCAGGCAGTCTACAGCTCAGATCAATAGTCATCGACTGATGTCAGTTCTCGGTGTTGCCACATTGAACCCTCATTCAACTCCTGCTGGCATTGCACGTCTATGTAGACCGTACCTCGATAATGTCGCAACTCAGTTTTTTAAGATTATTATATACAACTAACCAGTCTCAAGCAAGATGAAACATTAGCCCCAGATTTCACCGCTCGCCAATAAACATGATTACTATCAAAATTTCAGATCATTACATGAAACTTTAGTGTTGTTGCTTGCATTACACCGTCGCTGATTGGACCAAATTGATTGGTCTCTATCGAGATATGGGCTCCTGTGCGGATACCTCGATATTACCTGCGTTTTTAATTATATAGTAGTGATGTATAGTGACTAGCAGTGGAATTCAGGATACGCATTTCGTCCTACTACAGACTCTTCAGCTGGATGTACCTGCCTCCCAGTGAGTGACAGTGTTTCCACCGGGTTTGCAACTTGGGACCGACGGCTTCAAACACTAAAGCATTGTCACCCACTAGACCACCGAGCCACGATAGCCACTTCTTGTGTGGCTTGGTGGTCCAGTGGGTAACAAAGCTTTAGTGTTTGAAGCCGTCGGTCCCAAGTTGCAAACCCGGTGGAAACACTGTCACTCACTGGGAGGCAGGTACATCCAGCTGAAGAGTCTGTAGTAGGACGAAATGCGTATCCTGAATTCCACTGCCAGTCACTATCCTTCATTATATTATATGGAACACATAGAATCTGAACATGGAACTATATGAATTAATGGATCACGATTTTCTTGTCAGGCACATAAACTCTTGTTTTTGTGAACATGGGACAATTTACTGCCAGGTGTGAAATATGGATTCAAGTAGTTCTAAAATCACTTAGGGATGATCTGACTTCAGTGTTGTTGATTGTATTATACCGTCGTTGATTGGAAAGAACTAATCGGTATCTATCGGCATATGGGCCCCTGCGCGGATGCCTCTATGTTGCCTGTGTTTGAATTGTATATTAAGGAAGGGTAGTAGATAGCAGTGAAACTCACGACACTGGTTTCGTCCCACTCAGGATTCGTCAGTTGGATGCACCTGCCTCCCACTAAGCAGTGTTGTCCCCACCAGGACTCGAACTCAGGAATGACCGCCCAAAGTGTCAGAACGTTACCCACCATCCATCATTACTATAAAATTGAAACACAGGCAATATCGTGGCGTCGGCGCGGTAGCCCATATGCCAATTTGATGTCAATTTGATCCACTCAACGACGAGATAATAAAAGCAACAACATTGAAACTATGCACGTCGCACAAGTGGCTATCGTGACTCACTGGTTTAGTGGATAACGTTCTGGAGTATGGAGCGGTCTGTCTTGACTTCGAGTCCTAGTGAGAACAACATCACTCACTACGAGTCAGATACATCCAACTGGCGAATCCTAAATGGGACATGGACGCGCATCTTGGATTCTCCTTCTAGACAATATCCGTCATTGATGTGATTGGACCTCATGAACATATGTAACGAATCCTTTAGAAAATAAAGATTCTTAATGATTTCGACAGTCGTGTAGACACTGATCGCAGCACGTAACCCCCTTTCATTCAAAACACACTTATTATTTTTATTTGGAACTTACACACAGCAAATATAACTAATACTGCTAGTTTAAGGCATTCTTCAATTTGAAAAGAAATAAGCGAGGAAACTAGGTGGGCCTATTAACGCTTTTGCCTAATTTAAAACCTAAGCAATGAAGATCCATAACTCCACACATGATCCATTCAGGACAATAAACATCACTATTTAAAATCCCTGACTAGTACTTTCTGGTTTTCAATGGCTTCCAAATTGATGTCAATCCATGATGAATACCAACATGAAATAAATAAATAAATAAATCTCGACAGACATCCAAACTATTTATTGAGATACTAGGAATTCTCCGTTTTTTTATTGGATCGAATTGTTCGACCTCTTTTGGCATATGGACTCCTATGCGGATGCCTCGATATTACCTGAATGTTAATTATGATAGTTTGATTGGTTGTGGCTAGCAAAGGAATTCAGAACGCACGTTTCGTTCTATTTGCGACTTTTCAGCTGGATGTACCTGCACCTCAGTGAGTGATGTTGATCCCACTGAGACTCGAACCTCGTACCCATCGCTTCAAACGCCAAGACGTTATCCACTGTGCCACCTGCCACGATCCTGGATTCTTCTGCTAGCCACAGCCAAAAAAACATTCCAACTGTTTAAAACAGTTTCTTTTTAAAAACAGTAAAATTAATAGTTATTTTTGCCTAAATTATTTATTTCCCGCATACTGACAACACGGTAAAGAAAAATGCTGATTACTCTTCAAATTGAACACCTTCAACCAATGACAAAGCAGTAAATAATGCTTCTCGATTGTCTTGTCGCGTTTTATTTAATTGAAGGGCATGGAAGACAGCTGAACGATCACTCAAAGACTGATGTTTCATAAGTTCTGAAAATATGCACGATTGTCTTCGTTTACTGAGATAAGTGCGTTCAAGACGTTTATTTTGTTCAATATTTTCATGAGCAAATAATATACACTTCATAGCAGCTGCTTTAGATTCATTGAAAACATCATTTCTACCAAAGTTCTCAACGTAGTTTAATGGTGATGATGAGATTGTTGAGTATTTTTTCAAGTTTTGTGTGAAATGAATATTATAATTTTCCTCTTTCACTTGTCCTTTGTGGCTTTTGAAACCAGCGCTCACTAAAGAGGTATAAAATTTAAACAAAATGAATGAAGAAGCGTGTCAGATATTTTAAACATGACCTTGAGGGCTAAAAATCAGAAGTGGCATTTGATTGAGATTTCTGACTGCTTTAAGTACAGCTATTTTAACAATTTATGTGGTTGGACTCAAGAAAATTTATCCAATCTAAAATTTTCTTCCCTAATTATAAGTTCAAGGATCAAAGGTAGACAACAACGTTGAGCTGACGGAGGATATTTTGTAGTTCAAGTGGATAATTTTGATGGTTTTATGTTATCTGAGCTGGATAGTTTAATCATGGAGCTTTCATTGTTGTTTCTTTCTTATAAAGTATTTTCAAGTGCGTACTGTTTGCGTCTTTTCATTTCCGAATCTACTATCTATGGAACTTGTATTGTTCAACTTACGTTTCAGGTACTGTGTAGAAATCGAATAATTTGACAATCGTATACCTATCATGAAGCTTATTGTAGTTTGGTTTACTTTCAGAACACACTTCCAGTTGGCTTTAGAATTAAGTTCTGCTATTTATATGGTCTTCAAACCATGTTACTGCTTGCATTATACCATACTATACCCGTCTCACAGTGACCAGTGGTCTAGTGTATAACGACCTGTGGAGCGGCCAGTCCTGAGTTTAAGTCTGAGCGGGATCGAAATGCTCGTCCTCTATTCCACTCCTAGCCACTACCCATCATTAATATTGCAAGACTGCTTGCTTCAGCTTTTTTTTCGATATCTTGGTACTGTATGCGATATGTCGATCATCCCCGATACTCACTGCTAAGAATTTTTACAATATAAACGAAAATGACATGCAGGACAAACTGAAGTAGTTGAGACTCTTGCCGACTTTGCTTACCCACCGTCTACCAGTCAGTGGGAGTGGTATTAAGTTGGAATATGTAAATAACAACTAGAAATAAAAGTGGCGACAATTCATGAAGTTCTTCAGTATTGGTTTAAGCTGTTTCCGGGCAATGTAGGCACTCCAGTTGGTATCTCCAAGATAACTTCGACAAATGATTAGAGACCGAGTACTCGATACCATTGGAACTAAGCAAGCAAGGGTAGATACCCGTTAGTAGGAGTGCTTGGCCTGCTGCGTATACAGCTTTCATGCTTAAGCGCCTTATTTGAAACCATCCTTATGGTCGGTGATGTTTGGTCGAGATGGAAAACAGGGCAAGACCTAGAAAGCCTAAAATTAACCATCATTAAGACCACTAGCTGCAAGTTGATGTACTAACTTCTGTCTGAACAACAAAGCAATTACAAACTGCCTAGCCCGAGTATTAGAAATACTACGAATCAGTAGGCGGAAACTGTTGTTGATAGAATTAAAAATTTATCTCAACACAGTAGAAATATTAATTGGTTATCTTAGTTGAAACTCCAAACATTGTGTTAACCTCTGTTTGTTTGCTTTTACTCATCTCATTATCTTCTTGATCAATCTAATAGTATTCAGTTTCTGTCCGACTCCTGTTTCTGTTGTCGACAGACATGGCAAACTGATCTAATTCACTTCTCCGCAAAACTCTTCATTGGCCTCTCTATCCTTTCTGTCTCTCCGGCCATCTCTCTACATGTCTCTCTATCTATCTCTCACAATTTACCTAATTAATTGCCTTAAAAATAAATGAGTGGCTTTTAATATACAAAAATGTATGTCTTTCTGACGAGTTCATAAAAGCTTTGAATCTGTGATTGTGAGATTTGACTTCAAACCGCTTTATCACTCATTTAAGGTTGAATTCAACTAGCATGGTTTGATCTGTCTGTGGATACCGACGTACCATTGACATTGCTGAATGCAGTTTACATCCTTTTATTGCTCCAGACACACAGATTAACGTAGAACCTTGAATAGAGATCCATCACTCCAGTATGCCACACTTCACCACAGTACGCACAGAAGAAGGGGATGGGAAAATATGATGTTTTAGTAAATAGTGACAAGATAAATAGATGTAGGTTCAAGATGACAAAAATTGTTTGCATCTGCATCATTTTGACTGATTTTCAACCGTGTCACCAACAGTCTCCAAACGTTTTATTGATTCCTAACATCTCGACAGCCTCAGTTAGACAGCCTACACCTCTCTACTAGGTTGAAACTAACAGTCAATAAATTGATGAACTGGCTTCACATCTTGATCTAAAGCTCCCTTAACCTTCATCAAACTTCATCCTACTTCAGCAAACATTGCATGTCATGGTAGGTAGTGGCTCAATTAGTTCAACACATTTCCAAGTTACCTCAATAACTGAAGGCTTGGCTGTTACTCTGTGCCCAATATTAACAGATTTTACACCATTATTTCATCACGCTTAAGCAATGTTAGGAAGACAAAAGTGGTATAAAATCTATAAAAAACTTATAATATTTCCTACTTCTAATAACCATGTTTCACAGCCATAAAATAATACAGAACAGACTGCTGGACTGTATACTTTCTCTCTCTCTCTCTCACTCTCTCTCTCTCTCACTATAGTATGGAGTCACATGTATTGTCGGTGCCAAAATTGGCCTAATTTAACAAATACCAAAGTGGCTTTTTGAGTTGATATAACTTCGCAAGTATGTAAGGCGGTCGATAATTTCCAAAAATACATAGTCTAATGTGAAACTAAGAATCGTTCCACATCATTCTTTAAGTGTAACAATACATTCAACAGGAATAAAATGGAAGCCAAACGCACATATTTCTTCTCAAAGCGTTCAGAAAACTACATTTTGTCAGTACTTTGAAATGACGAGCTATGTCGTCTGCATACTGCATATCAACCAGCTGCTATCCTGAAAGTAAGTGAATCCAAGAGAACTTACAGATGCATAAGATTATGTGTATTAGTACGTTTATAATATAGTCGTTCAGTAATAGTGAGGGCTGGTATTTCTCGAGAACACTGCTAGTTGGTGCCATTGCAGAGGACAAGACTTAATACGCCTTGGCATGACTGCGTAGGTTCTAATTGATAGCTTTCATTGGCATTACATACTTGCTCAGTATTTCATACACAATCAGATACTGCCACAATATAATCGAATGTCATTTTCAAGTCAAGAAATATGGCAAGTGTGGGGAGTCTAAATTCCAAAACCTGTTGAAGCCTGAGGATCTGATGAATGCACTTTTGAAACTCTCTCTCTGTTCTTTTCAGGTTTGTTGCTATCAAACAACATTTTTGTAGTTTTCGTTCACTCTCAAGAAACTTAGATCAACAAACATGGATACGTTTTTCAAAACTGTCTTTTTAACACTTTTAGCGAACCGAAATACTGAGCGCAGATAATTCGTAATTACATGGAATTCGTATTCATAATTAAAACAGGTATGCCTTCACTGACAAACTTAAGCCAGAACTAAAATTCACTATCTGAAGATTACTAAGTTAGCGTCTCTCAGCATAATTTAGAATCTTGTCTATCCTATTGCCTGATGTTTGGCACAGCGAGAGAGAGAGAGAGAGGATTTCCTTCCACCTCAGTTAATATTCATCGTACATATTATTATTATTCATTATTTTTCCCTTGGGTTTCCGGTGGAACATAGGGCCTCAGTAGCACGCCTCCATTGTACTCTCTTCTCTGCAGTCTTTTGAACCTGGCGCCACAACTGCCCACAAGCTTTCATTTCTTCCTAACATTATCTATGTAGACCGTACCTCGATAATGTCGCAACTCAGTTTTTTAAGATTATTATATACAACTAACCAGTCTCAAGCAAGATGAAACATTAGCCCCAGATTTCACCGCTCGCCAATAAACATGATTACTATCAAAATTTCAGATCATTACATGAAACTTTAGTGTTGTTGCTTGCATTACACCGTCGCTGATTGGACCAAATTGATTGGTCTCTATCGAGATATGGGCTCCTGTGCGGATACCTCGATATTACCTGCGTTTTTAATTATATAGTAGTGATGTATAGTGACTAGCAGTGGAATTCAGGATACGCATTTCGTCCTACTACAGACTCTTCAGCTGGATGTACCTGCCTCCCAGTGAGTGACAGTGTTTCCACCGGGTTTGCAACTTGGGACCGACGGCTTCAAACACTAAAGCATTGTCACCCACTAGACCACCGAGCCACGATAGCCACTTCTTGTGTGGCTTGGTGGTCCAGTGGGTAACAAAGCTTTAGTGTTTGAAGCCGTCGGTCCCAAGTTGCAAACCCGGTGGAAACACTGTCACTCACTGGGAGGCAGGTACATCCAGCTGAAGAGTCTGTAGTAGGACGAAATGCGTATCCTGAATTCCACTGCCAGTCACTATCCTTCATTATATTATATGGAACACATAGAATCTGAACATGGAACTATATGAATTAATGGATCACGATTTTCTTGTCAGGCACATAAACTCTTGTTTTTGTGAACATGGGACAATTTACTGCCAGGTGTGAAATATGGATTCAAGTAGTTCTAAAATCACTTAGGGATGATCTGACTTCAGTGTTGTTGATTGTATTATACCGTCGTTGATTGGAAAGAACTAATCGGTATCTATCGGCATATGGGCCCCTGCGCGGATGCCTCTATGTTGCCTGTGTTTGAATTGTATATTAAGGAAGGGTAGTAGATAGCAGTGAAACTCACGACACTGGTTTCGTCCCACTCAGGATTCGTCAGTTGGATGCACCTGCCTCCCACTAAGCAGTGTTGTCCCCACCAGGACTCGAACTCAGGAATGACCGCCCAAAGTGTCAGAACGTTACCCACCATCCATCATTACTATAAAATTGAAACACAGGCAATATCGTGGCGTCGGCGCGGTAGCCCATATGCCAATTTGATGTCAATTTGATCCACTCAACGACGAGATAATAAAAGCAACAACATTGAAACTATGCACGTCGCACAAGTGGCTATCGTGACTCACTGGTTTAGTGGATAACGTTCTGGAGTATGGAGCGGTCTGTCTTGACTTCGAGTCCTAGTGAGAACAACATCACTCACTACGAGTCAGATACATCCAACTGGCGAATCCTAAATGGGACATGGACGCGCATCTTGGATTCTCCTTCTAGACAATATCCGTCATTGATGTGATTGGACCTCATGAACATATGTAACGAATCCTTTAGAAAATAAAGATTCTTAATGATTTCGACAGTCGTGTAGACACTGATCGCAGCACGTAACCCCCTTTCATTCAAAACACACTTATTATTTTTATTTGGAACTTACACACAGCAAATATAACTAATACTGCTAGTTTAAGGCATTCTTCAATTTGAAAAGAAATAAGCGAGGAAACTAGGTGGGCCTATTAACGCTTTTGCCTAATTTAAAACCTAAGCAATGAAGATCCATAACTCCACACATGATCCATTCAGGACAATAAACATCACTATTTAAAATCCCTGACTAGTACTTTCTGGTTTTCAATGGCTTCCAAATTGATGTCAATCCATGATGAATACCAACATGAAATAAATAAATAAATAAATCTCGACAGACATCCAAACTATTTATTGAGATACTAGGAATTCTCCGTTTTTTTATTGGATCGAATTGTTCGACCTCTTTTGGCATATGGACTCCTATGCGGATGCCTCGATATTACCTGAATGTTAATTATGATAGTTTGATTGGTTGTGGCTAGCAAAGGAATTCAGAACGCACGTTTCGTTCTATTTGCGACTTTTCAGCTGGATGTACCTGCACCTCAGTGAGTGATGTTGATCCCACTGAGACTCGAACCTCGTACCCATCGCTTCAAACGCCAAGACGTTATCCACTGTGCCACCTGCCACGATCCTGGATTCTTCTGCTAGCCACAGCCAAAAAAACATTCCAACTGTTTAAAACAGTTTCTTTTTAAAAACAGTAAAATTAATAGTTATTTTTGCCTAAATTATTTATTTCCCGCATACTGACAACACGGTAAAGAAAAATGCTGATTACTCTTCAAATTGAACACCTTCAACCAATGACAAAGCAGTAAATAATGCTTCTCGATTGTCTTGTCGCGTTTTATTTAATTGAAGGGCATGGAAGACAGCTGAACGATCACTCAAAGACTGATGTTTCATAAGTTCTGAAAATATGCACGATTGTCTTCGTTTACTGAGATAAGTGCGTTCAAGACGTTTATTTTGTTCAATATTTTCATGAGCAAATAATATACACTTCATAGCAGCTGCTTTAGATTCATTGAAAACATCATTTCTACCAAAGTTCTCAACGTAGTTTAATGGTGATGATGAGATTGTTGAGTATTTTTTCAAGTTTTGTGTGAAATGAATATTATAATTTTCCTCTTTCACTTGTCCTTTGTGGCTTTTGAAACCAGCGCTCACTAAAGAGGTATAAAATTTAAACAAAATGAATGAAGAAGCGTGTCAGATATTTTAAACATGACCTTGAGGGCTAAAAATCAGAAGTGGCATTTGATTGAGATTTCTGACTGCTTTAAGTACAGCTATTTTAACAATTTATGTGGTTGGACTCAAGAAAATTTATCCAATCTAAAATTTTCTTCCCTAATTATAAGTTCAAGGATCAAAGGTAGACAACAACGTTGAGCTGACGGAGGATATTTTGTAGTTCAAGTGGATAATTTTGATGGTTTTATGTTATCTGAGCTGGATAGTTTAATCATGGAGCTTTCATTGTTGTTTCTTTCTTATAAAGTATTTTCAAGTGCGTACTGTTTGCGTCTTTTCATTTCCGAATCTACTATCTATGGAACTTGTATTGTTCAACTTACGTTTCAGGTACTGTGTAGAAATCGAATAATTTGACAATCGTATACCTATCATGAAGCTTATTGTAGTTTGGTTTACTTTCAGAACACACTTCCAGTTGGCTTTAGAATTAAGTTCTGCTATTTATATGGTCTTCAAACCATGTTACTGCTTGCATTATACCATACTATACCCGTCTCACAGTGACCAGTGGTCTAGTGTATAACGACCTGTGGAGCGGCCAGTCCTGAGTTTAAGTCTGAGCGGGATCGAAATGCTCGTCCTCTATTCCACTCCTAGCCACTACCCATCATTAATATTGCAAGACTGCTTGCTTCAGCTTTTTTTTCGATATCTTGGTACTGTATGCGATATGTCGATCATCCCCGATACTCACTGCTAAGAATTTTTACAATATAAACGAAAATGACATGCAGGACAAACTGAAGTAGTTGAGACTCTTGCCGACTTTGCTTACCCACCGTCTACCAGTCAGTGGGAGTGGTATTAAGTTGGAATATGTAAATAACAACTAGAAATAAAAGTGGCGACAATTCATGAAGTTCTTCAGTATTGGTTTAAGCTGTTTCCGGGCAATGTAGGCACTCCAGTTGGTATCTCCAAGATAACTTCGACAAATGATTAGAGACCGAGTACTCGATACCATTGGAACTAAGCAAGCAAGGGTAGATACCCGTTAGTAGGAGTGCTTGGCCTGCTGCGTATACAGCTTTCATGCTTAAGCGCCTTATTTGAAACCATCCTTATGGTCGGTGATGTTTGGTCGAGATGGAAAACAGGGCAAGACCTAGAAAGCCTAAAATTAACCATCATTAAGACCACTAGCTGCAAGTTGATGTACTAACTTCTGTCTGAACAACAAAGCAATTACAAACTGCCTAGCCCGAGTATTAGAAATACTACGAATCAGTAGGCGGAAACTGTTGTTGATAGAATTAAAAATTTATCTCAACACAGTAGAAATATTAATTGGTTATCTTAGTTGAAACTCCAAACATTGTGTTAACCTCTGTTTGTTTGCTTTTACTCATCTCATTATCTTCTTGATCAATCTAATAGTATTCAGTTTCTGTCCGACTCCTGTTTCTGTTGTCGACAGACATGGCAAACTGATCTAATTCACTTCTCCGCAAAACTCTTCATTGGCCTCTCTATCCTTTCTGTCTCTCCGGCCATCTCTCTACATGTCTCTCTATCTATCTCTCACAATTTACCTAATTAATTGCCTTAAAAATAAATGAGTGGCTTTTAATATACAAAAATGTATGTCTTTCTGACGAGTTCATAAAAGCTTTGAATCTGTGATTGTGAGATTTGACTTCAAACCGCTTTATCACTCATTTAAGGTTGAATTCAACTAGCATGGTTTGATCTGTCTGTGGATACCGACGTACCATTGACATTGCTGAATGCAGTTTACATCCTTTTATTGCTCCAGACACACAGATTAACGTAGAACCTTGAATAGAGATCCATCACTCCAGTATGCCACACTTCACCACAGTACGCACAGAAGAAGGGGATGGGAAAATATGATGTTTTAGTAAATAGTGACAAGATAAATAGATGTAGGTTCAAGATGACAAAAATTGTTTGCATCTGCATCATTTTGACTGATTTTCAACCGTGTCACCAACAGTCTCCAAACGTTTTATTGATTCCTAACATCTCGACAGCCTCAGTTAGACAGCCTACACCTCTCTACTAGGTTGAAACTAACAGTCAATAAATTGATGAACTGGCTTCACATCTTGATCTAAAGCTCCCTTAACCTTCATCAAACTTCATCCTACTTCAGCAAACATTGCATGTCATGGTAGGTAGTGGCTCAATTAGTTCAACACATTTCCAAGTTACCTCAATAACTGAAGGCTTGGCTGTTACTCTGTGCCCAATATTAACAGATTTTACACCATTATTTCATCACGCTTAAGCAATGTTAGGAAGACAAAAGTGGTATAAAATCTATAAAAAACTTATAATATTTCCTACTTCTAATAACCATGTTTCACAGCCATAAAATAATACAGAACAGACTGCTGGACTGTATACTTTCTCTCTCTCTCTCTCACTCTCTCTCTCTCTCACTATAGTATGGAGTCACATGTATTGTCGGTGCCAAAATTGGCCTAATTTAACAAATACCAAAGTGGCTTTTTGAGTTGATATAACTTCGCAAGTATGTAAGGCGGTCGATAATTTCCAAAAATACATAGTCTAATGTGAAACTAAGAATCGTTCCACATCATTCTTTAAGTGTAACAATACATTCAACAGGAATAAAATGGAAGCCAAACGCACATATTTCTTCTCAAAGCGTTCAGAAAACTACATTTTGTCAGTACTTTGAAATGACGAGCTATGTCGTCTGCATACTGCATATCAACCAGCTGCTATCCTGAAAGTAAGTGAATCCAAGAGAACTTACAGATGCATAAGATTATGTGTATTAGTACGTTTATAATATAGTCGTTCAGTAATAGTGAGGGCTGGTATTTCTCGAGAACACTGCTAGTTGGTGCCATTGCAGAGGACAAGACTTAATACGCCTTGGCATGACTGCGTAGGTTCTAATTGATAGCTTTCATTGGCATTACATACTTGCTCAGTATTTCATACACAATCAGATACTGCCACAATATAATCGAATGTCATTTTCAAGTCAAGAAATATGGCAAGTGTGGGGAGTCTAAATTCCAAAACCTGTTGAAGCCTGAGGATCTGATGAATGCACTTTTGAAACTCTCTCTCTGTTCTTTTCAGGTTTGTTGCTATCAAACAACATTTTTGTAGTTTTCGTTCACTCTCAAGAAACTTAGATCAACAAACATGGATACGTTTTTCAAAACTGTCTTTTTAACACTTTTAGCGAACCGAAATACTGAGCGCAGATAATTCGTAATTACATGGAATTCGTATTCATAATTAAAACAGGTATGCCTTCACTGACAAACTTAAGCCAGAACTAAAATTCACTATCTGAAGATTACTAAGTTAGCGTCTCTCAGCATAATTTAGAATCTTGTCTATCCTATTGCCTGATGTTTGGCACAGCGAGAGAGAGAGAGAGAGGATTTCCTTCCACCTCAGTTAATATTCATCGTACATATTATTATTATTCATTATTTTTCCCTTGGGTTTCCGGTGGAACATAGGGCCTCAGTAGCACGCCTCCATTGTACTCTCTTCTCTGCAGTCTTTTGAACCTGGCGCCACAACTGCCCACAAGCTTTCATTTCTTCCTAACATTATCTCCTCCATCTCACCCTCAGCTGGGATACCCTACTCGTCGTTTCCCCTTTGGATTTCACTCCAGGGCCTGGCCTGACGCGTGATGTCTCCACTCGGCCTTCTCAGTGTATGCCCAATCCAATCCATCTCCACTTTCTTCTTCTGCATATTTGTTGGGTGATAGGTTCTTGGTTGCTTTGTTCTTAGAGTTCCTTGTTGCTTGGTCTTACTATTCTGGCCATCTGATCTTGAGTATCGAGTGAGGGTAGGCAGATGTTGATGAATGTCTGTAGTTTGTTGGAACTGCTTTTCGTAACGCGCCAAGCCTCTGAACCATATAGTAGCACTGACTTGACTGACATTGGTGTTGAAAATCCTGATCTAGTTTTTTGTGCTGAGTGGAGTGCAGTAGATCTCTACACTGATTTCAGATTAATGAAAGCCTGTCTTGCTGTCTTTCCGATCCTGGTTTTGACATCCTCGTATGTGCCTGTGCCACCTGTAGTTGAAACGATGCTGTCTAGGTAGATAGGTAGGTGAAAGAGACAACTTCCTTCAGATTTCTCCCATTGATGGTGATTGGTGCTTGTTGTTGTCATGTTGGTTGGGTATCTCCATCATATCTGTCGTCCCTATATTCACTTGAAGTGCCGTTTTCGCTTCCCTACCTCTTCTGTCAACTTGTTAGTTTTCGCCTGTAGATCTTCGAGTTTGTGCGACATTAAACACAAATCATCGGCGAAATCGAAATCTTCTAGGGTCTTTTCATCAGTCAAACAGCTTATGCCCATCTTCTCGCTCTTCACGGTTTACTGCATGATCTAGTCCACCACAATCAGCAAGATCATGGGTGATAGTAGGCAGCCTTGTCTTACTCCTATCTTCACTTCAAAGGCGTCGCTGAGCTTTCCATTGTGGATCACTTGGCATGTGGGGTCTTCATATAACTGTTGAATGAGGATGATAGAGATTTGTGGCACTCTATAGTGCTGTAGCAACTGCCAAATTACTTCTCCGTCAACGCTGTCAAAGGTCTTTTCAAAGTGGATGAAGTTGAGGTAGAGTTGATTTGACTGCCATTCTATACTCTGTTCTATGATGATGCGTAGAGTGGCGTTGCAATTTGGTCCACACATGATTTGTACTTGCTGAATCCAGCCAGCCTGTTCCGGTCGTAGTTTTGAATCCAGCGCATCCATTAGTCTCTTCAGGATGATGTGACTTAATATTTTGCTTTGGGTGGACAGCAGCATGATTCCTCACCAGTTCTTGCAAAGACTTAGGTATCCCTTCTTTGGGAGTTTGACAAGCGTCATACACATACCAGACATAAATTCTAATTCTTAGACAAAATCCGATCGTGTACTATTCTCCTATAGAAGAACTTCAGGTCACTTCATCAGAGTCCTTCAGGTGTCTATTTTATAGTTTCATCCCAGCCTTACAGTTGGTCTGTGATTTCTTTCCACCCTTTGTATACTTGATTTCAGGAACACAGGAACTAACTGACCATTAAATTTCAATGCAGAGGTTTTTTATATTAAACATTATTTCACTGCATAACAAACTATGCGAAACCATTTTAAATGATCAAACAAATGAGTAATTGATTAAAATTAAACCATTAACTTACCTATTTCTTTAATGATATTAATAAACCCACTTGATTTGGCATCTGGTAAAATTTTCAAAGCATCTTCAGACAGTAAACTAACTTTCACGTTATTTGTATCAGTCATTCTAGTGACTATCAAATTATTTGTGAATTAAGCGCCTTAAATTGTATATGTAATATCTGTTTAAATTGCATTGATCAATTTAGTTGAACATTGATAAACGTGCTATCAATCACATTTAAAAGTTATTACATCTGTATGTAGAAGATAATTCCATATAATCAAAAACAAGTTGAAACTTCTTTTCTACGACAATAAAAATATAATCTTTGAAGTGTTTGTTTTCATCAGTTGATAACTCAGTAACATCAAGACTTTCAAGGATATCTTCTTAATGAACTCAACAACACGAGAACTCATACCATCAATTAGATACAGTGCATGGTACTTAAGTGATTTGAAATTAGGATGACTGTGACATCACTCAAGTAGATATTCACTTTTATCAGTGCAACTTTCAAAGAAATTAATCTCAAGGCAATTTCGATAGAATAATATAGAAACCAGTTGATTTTCTTCGCCATTATTGGGTCTTTGCATTTTAAAAAAAAAGTAATTATATAATTCCCACTGTAACATTCAGAAGAAGATATTCAGCAAACAGGCTTTTCCCTATGGACTGAATGGCAACTAGATTTTATTAATTATTATTAGTCCCTTGGGTTCCTAATGGAACATCGGGCTTCAGTAGCACATCTCCAGTGAACTCTGTTCTCTGAAACCTTTTGAACCTGGCGCCACAACTGCCCACAAGCTCTCATTTCCTCCTCGCACGATCTCCTCCATGTCACCCTCGGACGTCCAACTCGTCGCTTCCCATGGGGATTCCACTCGAGTAACTGGCCTGACGCGTAATGTGCCCAGTCAGCCTTCTCAGTGCATGGCCAATCCATCTCCACTTCCTTCCACTGCATATTTGTTGGGTGATAGGTTCTTGGTTGGTTCGTTCCCAGAGCTCCTTGTTGCCTATTCTCATTGTTCTGGCCATCTGATCTTGAGTATCCAGTGAGTGTAGGCAGTTGTTGATGAATGTCTGTAGTTTATTGGAAATCCCTTTCGTAATGCACCACGTCTCTGAATTATACAGAAGCACTGACTTGACGTTGGTGTTGAAAATCCGGATCTTATTCCACATGCTGAGTGCAGGAGATCTCCACACTGGTTTCAGGCTAATGAACACCTGTCTTGCTTTTCCGATTCTGACTTTGACATCTTCGTCTGTCCCGCCTGTAGTTGAAACAGTGCTTCCTAGATAGGTGAAGGAGGTTACTTCCTTTAAGTTTCTTCCGTTCATGGTGACTGGAGTTTGTTGTTGGTGGTGGTGCGGTATCTTCACCACCTCTGTCTTCTCTATATTCACTTGAAGTCCCGTCTTCGCTGCCTCTTCTGTCAACTTGTTAGTTTTTGCCTGTAGATCTTCAAGTTTATGTGACATTAGGCACAAGTCATCGCTGGCGAAATCCAAGTCTTCTAGGTTCTTTTCCGCAGTCCAGCCAGCATATCCCCCTCTTCTCGCTCCCCACTGTTTGCTGCATGATCCAGTCCACTAAAATCAGGAAGATTATGGGTGATAGTAGACAGCCTTGTTTCACTCCTGTCTTCACTTCAAAGGCATCACTGAGCTGAGCTTCCCATTGTGAATTACTTGGCTGGCATGTGGCGTCTTCATATAGTTGTTGAATGAGGTTGATAAAGGTTCGTGGTAATTCGTAGTAATGGCAACTAGATAAATAAATGATATTATTATGGGCACTGGCATTGACTCTTAACGCTTTAAGCTGCCACATCTCAGGTGAATACATCAGACAAGAATTCGCCATTGTGCCAGATAAAGAAATAAGGAGGAAATTTGTCGAAAACCGTAGGAAGTTGTGAAAAAAGAAATGGGATGTGTGAGATAGTAATTAATTTCAATATGAAGACTAAGGTGAAGATAGTGTATAAATATATCTCTTCACTACTAACATCAATTCTAAGCCACACCATCTGGAATCTGAAACCACTACATTCAGTTTATCGAGCGAACTCTAACCATGAAGTTCATATTCATCTACACAACTCAAATCAATAGTCGGAGACTTTATGAACTGATTCTATGTTTAAGTCTGACCACCTCTTACGTTTTTCCAGCTAACATTGTGCAACGAGGCAGATGGTGACTAGGCGTGAGTTTAATATACGCAGACTACCTGGGCCGATCAAGTTTCTTGACCACATCAGCTGACTTTCTTTTCCTCTCTAAAACTCTACACCTAACATCTAAGCTACTGATGTGGCGACAATAAAATACACGGGCTATACTAAGATGGCAGTGATGGTCGAATACCTGAAGTCTTCTCATATCCTCTACTTATAATGATCATTCAGTAGTACACAGCGAACTGCAGAGAAGTACACTGAACCCTTAAAATACAGTGGGATATTATAGTGGCACCATAAGTACCTTAACTTGGTGAGAGCCAGTTCGACTAATTCGGCTTCCCAGGTGAATGAAGTAGTAAACGCACTCAACCACTTCACTCACTATTGTCAGACAGGCCATTACTGATGATCAATCGTGGAGTAACAAAATACAACTGGGTGATAAGAAAAGCATTCCAGACATTCTCAAATCGTCATTCAAGGTGTGTAGAAGATCTTGTATCTTGTCAGCGTCTTCACCCAGCAGAACTATGTCTTCTGCGTACTCCAAACCTATCATGTACTGTCTTATGATTCGATCAATCCTTGTGAAGTCAGACGACGTGAGGAAGACCTTCGTAAGCATGTCTATGGTAAAGCTGAATAATACTGGAGAAAGTAGATATCTTTGATGGACGGAAATGTGTAAGACTTCAGTCTTGTTTTCCTTCAGCAGATAGACTACATTCTGAAATAATGAAAAGTTCGTAATTACTTCTGTTCATATTTTATGCGATGTTGCATGCCAAACATACGTATCAGAAGTACATGTTAAATTTTCTTAGCAAATTAGAATATTATTCACATTTTGTGAAACTCACGAATGCGTAGATATTTGCCAGTCTAAGAATTCACCTGCCTGATAGTATTTCATTAAAACGTCGATTATTAGAAGACTAAAAGTTATTTCTAACTGTCTTTCTGTTCCTTTTAGGTTTTCTGTATCTACTGTTTGATTGCTTCTCCTATCTTATCATATATTCTTGTGTAAACCCTGTTAACAAAGCTTACATCATGTATGATACAAATTTTACGCTTCTAGAAGTTACAGGAAGTGACCTAAATGGAAGTCGATATTTTTAGTCACCAGTCGCTAAGTTAGGAGGTTTGGATGTCAACTTTTGCCTCATGTCACTATGTAGTCAAGAAAAACCTTATTGGACAATTTTATCTTACGAGTGACCGATAAGAATGACTTATTCGACTTCTGACCTAGTGGTTTTATCTGTTCAGAAAAAGTGTATATAACGTTCTGCTTGAGTATTGTGGTATAGGCCATGGGTATTCACTCAGTCACTTCAAAAAACCCTGTTTTTGCTCATTTTCCAGCTTCTCTGTTGGTTTTCTATGCTATGCTTATCCTCGTTATCTTATCAGTTCATAATACATCACCAACTCTTCAAATTTTAATTTCATTAGCTCGAATTTGGTTTTGTCAGTGTATTTCCTCATCTGACCGACTGATGCAGTCCAGCATAATTATCAACATCAAAGTACAAGCGTAAACGAATATCAGTTGATACATGTTGTATAAAAGGTAGCCATAGTGCTTTAGAAGCCAAGTAGTTAATTTCTGGAGTTATGTGGCAGGAGTTCGAGTCTCATTCCAAATAGCATCATTGACTTGGATGCAGAAACATCCAACTGACCAGTTTTAAGTAAGGAGAAACACTTGTCATGAAGTCCACTGTTATCCACCACTAAGTTAAATAACATGAAAATGAATGAACCCTGTTGACAAACTGTTTAATATCTGTATTTACTTCACCATAAAATTCAAAGTTTTCAGGAAAGCCTTGTTTATCATAGCAATCAGAGATATTATTGTTCTGTAGACCAGGATTCTTGCATATAACTTGCAGCAAATTGATAAAGGATGCGCTGTACTGATACTAAAATTACACTACACTGATATTAGGGTAGTAGGCATTCTTGAATTTCGTTAATTAACCAACTAGTATTTCCCAGGTAAGTAAAATAATGAACATATTCAGCAACTTAATCAAACGCCATATTAACATCGAAGAATTGAGAATATGAATCTTGGAAGTTGGGTAGAAGATGAAAATTTATCAAATGTTGAATGAATTCTTGAACATATGTACAACTACTGAGACTTGTAATTGTGCACAAATCTTGTTACGGTTTTACAGGACAACTATACGGAGAATTGATTAGTACCGTTGAATATTAACCATAAAATTGCAACTTCAGTGACTTGTGATTGACGAATTCTCTAAATTGTTTAAGATTCACAAAAATCTTCACCACCTAATTCTTTATATCATTGTTAAAATGGCGTAAGTCATTTCGGTAAACATTAAAAAATAATTAGAAGAATGTATGTATATATTTTGGAGAAAAATTGTCACTCCAATGGATCAATAACCTTTTCTAAAACTGTTAATAAAGCCTGACGATTCATTTGTTTAGCATGATTTTTGAAATAGGCTTTAATTGTTTCTGATTCTGTTTGAAATTTCGCTAAAATCTGTTGATGATTTAAATCATGTTCAATGGTCAATGGTTGATTTGTAATCGCTATTTTATCATACAACTTCACTGTATCAATAGTATAGATGTCATCTTTTAAAAATAAAAAATTTGATAAAGCTTTAGCTTTAGATATTAAGAATTTTTCTTCTTCCTGAATGCATTTATCAGTTTCAACTGATTTCACCGTTGTATCAATCAAGTAGAAGCATAAACATTTACAAACAACACGTTCTTCATCTTCTCTAGACATGATAAAGTACAATGTACGTATACGCTTTTGTGTGCGTATTGATTGAATGCATTTGAAAAGGGTTTATAAATATGTTGTTATTCATCTCAAGGTTATTCTCACTACAAAGCGTATAATATCACCTGAGAATTGTGTTACAACACGGATGTTAAATCTCTCAATGAAACTATACAAACTCAAACTATCTATTTGGAGATAAATGTGTCTTTTAAAATGAAGATGGAAGACAAAGCGATCATTTTTAATTTTGTTTTAATTGATAAATTTCAGCGGTAATTCAAAATTTAAAGTGGAATACATGAGTAAAACATTCCACATAGTTAAAAAGACTGCTATGAAACCATAGAAAAACTAATGACATACTGAGTGGTGATCGAAGGTAAAATGAAAATCTAGGCTGCAGCAGGATTCGAACCAGTGACACACATGTTGCTCAACCAAAATATAGATATTTAGAAAAACAGACCGTTAGGTGTTGTTTGATACTTGTAATCTACCGTTCCTATACTGGAACAAATCGATCTAGCCTGTACCCATGATAAAAAGCCTTCTTTTCCTCCTGTAACCTATTTATTTTGTGAATCCCACCAGAAATGCATACTTCCCACTAAGAAATTCACAAAATTTGTTTTATTTTAGCTGGTCAGGAGATCTATAAGTGCCGACTGGACTCTATACAGCCAATATGAATTCTTCATCTACATCATTTGTGTTTATTTCGAGGCTAGCCTTGTATCCTTTTTATGCCATCAGTTTCATACTACTTACTATTACCAAGTAGTATAATCGTATTGCTTTAAACTGATAAGTTGTCGGAAATTTTGTATTTTCATTTCCATTATAATCGTATTTTGCTTCAAGTTTAAACACTCTACTATACATTTCGTAGCTGTTTTTTTCCTATCTCAGTTGGTTCCTTGATGGTACTGAACAATTCTTCATCTCGTACCACCATCCATTTTCCAGCGTGGTGTGCGGTGAATAAAGTTCTACTGTTTATTTTATTGGTGCACTTTCACTTCACTGATCATAAGAGGCGCAGATTTCAAATCCAAAATTACGGAAACTATCGAATAATTATGGAGAGGGACTTGACAAAGAGTTAGGTTGTAGAAAATGATCTCATTTGGAATTGGTTCAGGCACAGAAAACATGGAGTAGATCAGATGTCTAACTACTGTTGAACGAATGAAGATACCGCAAACCAACCCTACAAGTCCTACTTTCTAGATGTCAGTGATAAGTGATGACGTTGGGTTACCTGAAGAAAACTTTAGATATTTCACCATGGATGTATTCAATGACTTACTATGAACGACCAACAGGAAGTAGTCAAAGATACTTTCCAGAAGCTTGTTTGAAAATCACTGATCTAAAAAAATTGGTGAAAACCTCTTGGGTGACTTCAAATGTGGAACTTCTAAAATGTAGTGATGATGTAGAGACAAACCACTTTAGTATTTGTATATGTGAACACATTTTCGTCATTTGGTCAATCCACAATCCACTCATTTGTCGAGTGAAATGATAACTTTTGATTGCACATTTTTGCGCATTGTTTGCCTATTACTAGCCACAGTTCATCCCTAATCATAATTTCCATTGTGGTGAACATTTTTAGCTCACGTTGTAGATGTTAGGAGTGAACTGTTGCCTGAGCTAGGGCCTTAGCTAGCCAACATCTCAATAGCACACTAGATATCGTCATCAGTGCACCAGAGCTTAACGAGGAAAGGAAGTGTTGAGATTTGCACAGATATTTATAACAGGCTGCCTTACTTTAGGTTGATTTGATTGATCGCTGTCGAGTGCGTTGGCGTAAAGTGATCCTCATTGTTTGGCTTCCTGTTTCCAGCTTTCTGACGGGGATGTGCAGTAGTGTCATTGGTTGATTTCTTTTCTTTGCTAGAATCGCGTTGAGGTCGCTTCGTTGTGATCAATTCAGCATTTTTGTTGAAATGAATTAGTGAAGATCGACTTACTCAGATTGGCTGATATACTTGCTTGACTATGAACTTTGTCCCGGTTTGACTCGCATATATTGGAGAGGAGATATTATATGCTGATTGGTTGACTGGATTTGACATGGATTTGAATAAAACCCTAATAGTCTTGCATTAAAATTCTGGGGCTCTCTGGGTCACTTTGGCTAAGATCTCACTATTACTATTTTCGATTCTACAAGCAACATAATAACACAATACACTTAATTATCTGCGAAACTGGTTCGTTGGTTTAGACCACTGACTTTCATTCAAACGTTTAGGAACGAACAATTTTAAAAGCCACCCTGATAACTACTGAAATAATCAATTGTGTTCCTCTGTTTCATGAAGAACTATAAGTTAATCGGAAAGACAGGAATCTACTTAGTTGTTTCAGTCATTGCTAGGTTGACTTTTTGGGTCACTTCCACAAACATCCACCTAGCTCCATCTACCAACGTTTTGGCCTGTATGACTGTCTAGCGCTGGAATATGAATACAGTCGTTGAGTTACATTTAAATTTTTACTAGCTTAATGACATCATAATCAACAGAAGATATCTGAAAATTCGACTGGTCATCAAGAAACAGTTCTGAAGTCTTCACTTTCGCTCACTCAGTGTTATTAGAAAGTTGCATGATTTTCATTAAAAAATTGGAACAAAACACCTCGAAGCATTCTCAGACATCATGTTAAATATTACATTGTTCAGAATTAATACATTACATGTGTATATTAATAAAAGACATGAAAGCGATATAACAGTTGCTAAAGCGTTCGATAGAAACTCATTAAAGCTATGTATAATCCGCAGTTCAAAATTAAAACTTCAGAATATTATCAAACAGAAATAACATTTAAATACATTAACCTGAGGAACTGAGATAGAACATGTATTCAAATGCTTAAAATTATTGAAGTCAAAAAGTAAACAAAGACAATAGGTTCGAAAAAAAAATCCTATTTTCAACAGCTGTCATTGGTTGTTTGCTGTCAAGGTCATATTTAAGCAACACTTTTGTTTTGTTGCACCAAACTCAAGATCATCACAACTACCGTATATTTCGACCACTATATGAATGTGGATTACTAGATTGATAAAAGGTAAGATTTCTCAATTGTTTTTCTTTTAAACGTAAATTTTCTGCTTCTTGCCTTAACATTTCTTCATAAGCTAATTCAGCTTTTTTTTGTGCTTCCAAATCAGCCTTAACTTCATCTTCAGCTAGTTTGTTTGCATTCAATTTATCCGCTAATTGAACATCTAACTGTTTATTGTGTTCAATAGCTTGTTCACGGCGTGTTTTTTCTTCTATTCTTTCATTAAGATTAGCACATTCAATTTCCTCTAATAATGCTTCTCTTGAAGCTAGTTCATCATGTTGTAATTGTTGATTTAAGGTTAATTGGTCGGCTATTTGTTTTCTACGATCTTCGATTACCTAAAATAGTAATACAGAGAAAAAAGAAGTTTCATGCAGCAGAAAAAGTGACATATTTTCAGTTTTTCTTTTTCTACAGTATATTATACTCCCTGGTTCCTTTCTTTTTTAAATCGGATCGCTAAACGTCTCTGATATGGCTAAAACCAATGGTTATAAAGCTTAAAAGTTGAGTAGCGTTTTCGGTTACTTTTCCTCAAAATCTCAGGTCATCTCTTCTATCTTTGTTAGTATCACACTAATATATGGTTTGTGTGTATATGTTAGACATTACGCAGTTGATTGGATCGATTGAACGACCGTGGGTTGTTAACTCGAGTGACTGTCAGACCCACCCTAACCCAACCACGGAAACAACAAATAAGGTTTATCTGTTTCCTGAAAAAAAACTCATCTTTCCAGTCAGAATAAGTGTAATTGACTATATCACTAGTTGCTAAAATGATCTTTAAAGTTAGTTCATCCAAGAGTAGCCTAAATTTGTCACGCGACTATACAGACTAAGTAACTATAAGTACCACTTAAGCAAACAATGAAATAACCAATCAAGTACCTAAGTTTTGTTTAGAACGGTAGTTTTTTATCAAATACATAAAACTGATTGGCCACTATAACAACTACTAGGATAATCAGTCACGGTTCTTTACTTCGATTGGAAGAGTAGGTTGTTTTTCCCATATAATAAAGTAACCTAATTGTCTAGTAAAGTAGTTTCTCATGTTGGTTCTAACGTCTGGTATTTCGTTAATATGACAAATCCAGATGTTTACATCTAATTACGAGCAACACGAAACAAATGCTTACATAATAACTAAGATAATCTAATATGCCTAATACCATATGACTGATATTGACAGACTCAAAGTACACAACTCTCAAGGTCAATCTGGTAACCAATAGGATAACCAATCAGATCTCTCCATTCTATGAAAAGGCTGCTTTTCTAATTTTAAAAAGCAAATCCAATTGGTTATTAAAATAGTTGTTAGATTGAACATTGAAGCTACTCACATTGATGGTGTTATGTCACTTGTAACTCTCTGTAAGCCTAAGTGGGTGAATATACATGAGTGACTGCAAAGGCTATCCTAACAACTAATTAGACAGTCAGTTACACTACTTTATAATATGAAAAAGTACCTTCTCAGCCGAAATACTGAAACCTGATTGATTATTAATTCAGCAGTTGCTTGGGTGGCTTATAAAGTCATTCAACTATGTAACCACATGTGTTTCTGATTCTTTCCAAACGCTTACGAGTCAGTGAGTGATTGAAAGCCAGATGAGATATTTTCAATCCATTGACCAGCACTCTTTCGTGTCAATTAGCTCTGTAGTCAATGTGTTTGTAGTACAGGTGTGCGACGTATCCACAACGCATGACACACAACAGACTGCAAATATGTAATAAACCCATTTTGCCTACAAAATGATGGATACAGTTACAGTTAACTGCATATTACCTCCCAAGGATATGGCAAGCATGAAGTGCTAATAAATGGCTAGGTAGTGGAAAACTACTTTTTCAAATGGTTGGCAAATAAAACTAAGAGATATCTGTTGAATAAATTGTCTTTGAAAAATAAAAGACGCCACAAGTGGCTAAAATGTAGTTTCAAGGTAGTATTCATTGCACACTGACATCAGTTAGAGAACCACTCAAGACCTGCGACCACTGGACCTCTATTTTGTCCCATATAGAACTAATCACCAGGAGGCACCACACGACCAGTGTCAGGGTTCGAACCAAGGACGTCCAGGTCTCACGGCGTACGCTCACACCACTTATCCATCAGGTCACAGCAAACACTTTCTTACACGGTTGAAACCAACAGTCAAAGACTTCATGGACCTACGTCACGTCTTAACCTGGCCATACTGAGCGCTTTTTCAGCGTCATCCAGCTTCTGTTAGAATCGTACCTCGAGGTTGGCAATGGTTCGACATGCTCAATCACTAGAAGCTCACATTCTTATCAACCGATTACCCTTCTTTCCCTACTACTCTGCGCCTAACATTGACACTTCTCACACGATGATTCTAGCACACGTGAGCAATGTAGTGGAGACACCTATGCTCAGAAATCTATAACCTCTTCATTTCTTCTCATTTCAACGACCATATCTCATAGACGCAAATTAATGCAGAATGGAATCCTGGACAGCATATTTTCTCTTTGATGTGTTGTCAGATGTGCTATGATAGCTAAAAGTGACTTAATTTGACAAATACCGAACCGAGCTTGGATTTCGTCACCAACCAATCCATTCAGGCTAATATAACCTCCCAAATGACTAGAAGTAGTGGGGATATTATTTAAAAGGTAGATGAAACCCAGTGCATTATCTCTTTGTCGGTGTATACAACTTTTCAAATTTATTAATTTCCACACCTTGTTCTCGTTTAATGGATTTTACCCCTGTATTCTTTTTATAGCTTCAAGATCATACTACTTACTATTATTCAGCAGTATAGTTACACAAGGTTACCTTATTCGCAACTTTCATTGTTTATTTTCGTTACAATCCTATCTTGTTCATCAATTTAATAACCTTGAATACTAACATCTTTGCCAGTTCATGATTGTGTTAGGTTCCTTTCAGTTATTTTCCTGATGCTCTATTTTACCTTGAATATTTGACTATCACATGTCTTTTACTATATCCTGGAAATCCGTGTTTATATTGTTGACAGCTATAGGCTTATGACTCGAGGTTTGTAATTTATCAGTCATTGTCGTTTATTGATACAACACTGTTCTTCAGGCAAATCCTGTATTTTGGATTTTATGCGCAACTCAAGCGATTGTTGAAGAATAAACTTGGTCGTTTTGGTTTCAGTTTTCTTGTAAAGAAATTCGAAATATTTTTTCAAGTTGAATTGTCCTCTTTCTGTTTGTTTATCATCCACACCGAGGATGATTATGGTCCACTTCCCTATGAAGTTAATGATTACGATGTCACCAAGTTTGTAGATGAGATGTCCACGCAAAACTATCATGGCTCAGAGAACACCCCAGCCATCATCATCCTGAGCTAAAAGTCTTGTTCAATATTTCAAAATAAAAATAAAATTTGCTTATTTATAAGTAACTAAGAAGATTTTACAGATTTAACTTAATTTGTAAGAAACAAAATCAATGATGAATGTTACACTATGTAAGATGTAGAGGACAGATTGAAATGATTAAAGTAGTGGATATGAATAGGTGACAAGAAATTAGTTACTGTTCAGTGACCAATGAATATATCTAATCTGGTCCTACAGGAGGTCAATCGTGGCCTGAATAGCTCAGTAGTGACGTCTCTGCTGGTTCATAACTTGATCGACCGTTTTGACTTCCTTGCTTAATACCCTGAGCGTAAACCTCCCCTTCTCTAACACTCCGATAAATGTATCTATATGCATGTAGTTCAAAACTAGATATTATTCCTGGAACAAAGTCAGTAACTGAATGTAACTTACTTCTTGTAACAGTCTTTGTCTAGCAGCAGTTTCATTACGCCATTCTTCTTCACGTTTAGCCCACACTCGTGATGCTTCATAGCTAATTACAACATAATAATAGTAATAATATCAGCAAGGCAAAGAACCAGTTTTGCGGTTGGATTTCAGAAAGAAAGAAAGAGAATAACCGTTTGGTTTAGTTCACTTTAAGTTGAATGGTTTGATTTTCAAAGGATGGATTAAAGTAACTTGGTTTGGAAACGGAACCACAGATATAAAACCATAAATCTATGATTTTAACATTAGGGTTTCCTATTCAAAGTTTATTACTGGGATGAAGAAATTTCTATAGTTTTAGCTTTGGAGTAAACAGTAAATACTGAAAGTTAGACTGTTCAGCCGAAGGAATATTTCGGTCCAGCTGAAGTTTATTGACGGCCAATGACGTTCGAGCATGCAATGACCAATCAGAATGAATGAAATAAAGGACAACGTATTTCTTGAGAAAAAACTATATTATAAATCTGTTTTAAGTGGGAAATAAAGTTATCCATATTTCCAGTGGGGTTATCATCCTTTACACCATATCACTGTCTGTGTTGCGACTCACGCATAGAAGACCATATCATATCACCTAATCTTCTTGTTAAGTGTCTTAGGAACCTTCGAAGATGACTGTGCGCATTTTTAATGTTGTTTGTCTGCACTCCAGCTGTCGGATCAACGAAGTATTTTCTGAACAGTAACCTGATAGGGGTGACCCATTTCAGATAACGTCAGGTATGACATCTAAGTATCTGTATATATGGCAGTTCCCGATTCTATCCATTCTACTAGACTTGGTGGAGGAGATACTTCCAATATATCTTCTATCCATTGGAAATATTCTTCGTGTGTATTTCGATCGTATGTATACCAAAAATCTGTGATTTTTCAAGACATATGCGTGCAACTTAAGGAATCCCGTCTAAGTCGCCTTTCTCCATTACATTTACGTTCCCGGATAATGCAGTCATCTATCTCCACCATAAAACCTACTCCGGCAAATATCACAACCACCCTGCCGATTACTTAGGAGCAGGTGTCTCTGCAGTGCTGGTTTTACTGCATCACAGAGACTTCAGTAACATCTTTCAGGGATCCAACTGATTTTACAGCAGTTCCAACAACCCATTGAGGTACACAAATAACTGTCTGTTAGAGAATTACGTTCGACCCTTTGAAAAACGATCCTGTTCCAAGTGATTTCTTTCTCTAGCAGCTGGGACAACAAAAAGTGGGACTATCTCTTTTCTCACTGTTCGATGGATATTCCATTACAACACCACATTCACAATTTCAACCTCTCGCAACCAGTCCAAATCTCTGCAAGTAACCGATGACACATCCTTTATCATAATTCATCAAAAGCTTATTCATTGTTAGTGATTTGGTAGACGAATGACCTTGATACGTAGCATCTGCAACCTGATTGGTCACCCTCAAGGTTTCTTGTCACTAAACGTTAGTTCAACCAACATTTCTCATAAAGACACATTTGTGACTCGCACTGACTAGGGAATTCTAACTCTAATCAAACACGCTGACCAACGATATCATCACTAAAGTCTTCAGAACATAAATTCTTGAAGATATTTTACGGAAGTATGGGCGAGAATATTTGCAGCTGATGTGAAAGATTTTAGTAGTGTTGCGTAGAGTGAGAAGGAAGGTTAAATCATGAAGCTTTAATCGTTTTTCTAGACAATATCATTAACACTAGCATAATGAAAATTAAGGCAATATCGAGGCATAAGTACGCACTGGACCCCATACGTTAAAAGAGGTCGATTACTTTGCTCCGGTACATCAACGGGAAAATACATGCATTAATAAATAATAACTGGTATCTCATGCACAAGGAGTAACTTTAGTGCCTCACTAGCCTAGTGGATAATGTCTTGGTGTTTGCAGACATTGGTGTGGGGTTCGAGTTTAAGTGGGAACACTATCATTCACTGAGGTACATGTGTATCCAGCTGATGAGTTTCAAAGAAGAAGAAATGTACGTTATGGATTTCACTACTGGACACCACATGATGACCCAGAATGTCTAAAACAATAGGTGCAAGACTTAGTGTTCTATTGTACGAGGTTGAAAGGACTGGATTGTGTGACTTATCGTGTGAGTAAACTGTGGTTTGGACGATTACTACTAGGCAGAGACATAAAAACATCAAAGAAGGGAAGTTATCTCATGAACTCCAGAGGTCGTCGAATATAAACAGTTCTAATGTGGCTTATTAATTGAGCAGAAGAATTTAAATAAATAATCTCCAGTTCCACTAAGTTTTGAGTTAACTGGCATCATTTTTAACTAATCTTTATTTCTACAAATGGCAGTTATTGGCTTTTTTTGAAGGATATGAATTTGAACCTATATTGTTCATATTAATACAGTCACACAATTAGGCTACCTCAATGATACTGAATACTGTGATAAAGACTGACTAACTTAGGAGATGAAGGCTTTAAAAAGTTATCATACAATGAATGAATCCACTGATTGATCATTGGTGATCGACTGATCTTATCTAGTCCTAAGTGCTACGGCCTCAACTGGCAAACGTTCCAGTATCATACTAGAAATATTCACCAGTGCATCAAATATTCATTGTGAAGCTGAAGGAATAACTCACGCTGAATACAGTAAACTCAACGATTTCCTATCTACTATTGGAAGATGGTCCTCTATGAATGACCTTGGTCCTAATTCTTCAAAATGTCAGACTATGAACTTCAGTTTCAGATGCGGACATAACCTATGTAAACTGCTTAAGTCACATGATTCCTGTTCTATCGATGGCTGCACATCGGAGAATGTTACAAGTGAGATCTATCTTAGTGTCCCTTTTTCTTCGGACCTTTCCTGGTCTTCCAATATCATACTAGTTTCCAAAAGAATCCTCCACCTTCCGTATCTGGTATAACTCAGCCTCTTCTCTCGTGTTTTTATAAACTTCTGCATCTTACCTATTCTCCCCTACTGTTCGCCTTGATTCATTCCCGGGCTGCTGAAAAAAGACCATGCTATATTGCGTAGAACTTTGAAGATTGTCATCAGAACTAGTGATGTACCTATGAACCTTCTAATTGCCACTATTGTGGACAAACACCTTAACTCCTGTCAATATTTAGAGGGAGTTATTTAATTTAATGACAAGCATTCTCTTCACGTAAAGCTCTCTACTTGTCGGTCCTCAGGCATGACCACAAGCAAGTGTATATAAGACTTTATGCACGTACTACTAGATATAAAAACTACTATACTGTATTTAGTTAGTATTCTATGCGAGGAAGAAAGTGTTAGAAATGAACTAACTAACCAAATTTTTTTTCTTCTTAGAGAAAACTGATTGAAGATTACACAGCTTCCAGTAACTGAAGTGTTATGAACGTAATTGCTAATGTGATGGTTTACTTAAATTAACTCTGTATTTTCAAGAAAACTGTAGATGTAGTAAATATTCTTATATATATATATATGTTTTATTTACTTCATTTTATTGTCCATAAATATAAATTATTTCTATCCAAATGATGTTAACCGACATGCAAAAAATTCTGCACAGTATCTCCAAAATACCTTTCAGAATTGGGCCATTATTATTATTACTATTATTATTATTATTATTATTATTATTATTAAAAACTACCACACCGTTAGTTACAAGTATTCGACACAATTTTTAAGTCATATATTAATTTGAATTTCACTGGTATTGGTGAACTAAACTACTCATCATGTCAAACTGCCGAAGAAGGGAGACCTCAGTGTTTGCAAGAACTGGCGCGGAATCACTCTCCTGTCCACCCAGTGCAAGTAAAATATTAAGCCGCATCATCCTAGAGAGGCTTAAAGACGCACTGGATTCAAAACTGCGACCGGAACAGGCAGGCTTCAGGAAGTACAAATCATGTGCGGACCAAATTGCAACACTTCGTATCATCATAGAACAGAGCGTAGAATGGCAATCAGCTCTATACCTCAACTTCATCGACTTTGAGAAGGCCTTTGACAGCGTCGACCGAGAAGTAATTTGGAAACTGCTTCAATACTACGGAGTACCGCAAACCTTTATCCGCCTCATTCAACAACTATATGAAGATGCCACATGCCAAGTAATCCACAATGGGAAGATCAGTGATGCCACTGAAGTGAAGACAGGAGTGAAACAAGGTTGCCTACTATCCCCCATGATATTCCTTATTGTGGTGGACTGGATCATGCAGCAAACAGTGTGGAGCGAGAAGAGGGGGATACACTGGACGACGGAAAAGAACCTAGAAGACTTGGATTTCGCCGATGACTTATGCGTAATGTCACATAAACTTGAAGATCTGCAGGCAAAAACTAACAAGTTGACAGAAGAGGCAGCTAAGACGGGACTTCAGGTGAATATAGAGAAGACAGAAGTGATGAAGATACCGCACCACCACCATCAACAACAACAACAAACTCCAATCACTGTCAACGGGAGAAACTTGAAGGAAGTAACCTCCTTCACCTATCTAGGAAGCACTGTTTCAACTACAGGCGGGACGGACGAGGACGTCAAAGTGAGAATCGGAAAAGCAAGACAGGCCTTCATTAGCCTGAAACCAGTGTGGAGATCTTCTGCACTCAGCATGCGGAACAAGATACGGATTTTCAACACCAACGTCAAGTCAGTGCTCTTGTAGGGCTCAGAGACTTGGCGCGTCACGAAAGGTATTTCCAATAAACTACAGACATTCATCAACAACTGCTTACGCTCGCTGCTGAAGATCAGATGGCCAGAAAAAATAAGCAACAAGGAACTCTGGGAACGAACCAACGAAGCAAGAACCTATCACGCAACAAATATGCAGGAAGAAGTGGAGATGGATTGGCCATGCACTGAGAAGCCGACTGAGGACATCACGCGTCAGGCCAGTTGCTCGAGTGGAATCCCATGGGAAGCGACGAGTTGGACGTCCGAGGGTGACATGGAGGAGGTCATGCGAGGAGGAAATGAGAGCTTCTGGGCTGTCGTGGAACCAGGTTCAAAAGATCTCAGAGAACAGAGGTCACTGGAGGCGTGCTACTGAAGCCCTATGTTCCACTAGGAACCCAAGGGACTAATAATAAAAATAAAAATAAACTACTCATCAAATGTTTGTTGATTTAAAACAAACAAAAAATGTGATTCTAGAGTTCAATCAGTTTAAAATTATCATTCTTGTAAATTTACATACCATCCTGTAATAATTAGTTTCAATAGAATAGAACCTCAGAGTCTTAAATACTCATACTAGCTAATAGTTAGGTATATATGGAGTGATACTAATAAAATATTATAAAGTTGATTGTGATACAAATATCCAGTCTATTCTATTGTTCTTATACGCTTAGTTAAGCTTAAATCTACTTCACGTATACGCATTGTCATTCTGACATAATAAGGACTGAATGACAGCTGATTGGTCAATGTTTCGATGCAGAAATGTAATCTAAAGGTTGGTCCTTCAACTTTGGTCAAAGGTAGTGTCATTTGCATTTTTTCCCCTAAAAACTCTCATTATAACTCAAAGACTATTTGAGTTAACAAAGAATATTCTTTTCGATAACTCCTTCTTCACATCCTACAGTTATTTATACATATTAAGTAGTTTTCATCAACAATGCTGAGAATTCATCCAATAGTTGTGGAAGTCAGTTCAGAAAAGTCTTGTGTTGAACATTCATGTTAGAATCAATATCCCTACTGGGATTCACTGGAATTATACGGCATAAGTAAAGCCATAAAGTGGTAGTCAAATAAAACAATAGGAAGGTGTTTATTGAAGTTGGATACAATGAACAAAGAAAGATCATTTGATGGATAGTAGCTTGATAGAATGTTACTCATGCTGGGGAACAAAAAATAGGTTAAGAGAATGTGTTGAAATCATTTCAGACTATATGGATGAAGGGGGTATTTATCGTATAGAATTAGAGAACTAGATAACCTGGGGTAGGCGACTAAAGAATTTGTGGGTCCCGGACGGCACCACAACAGTTATAGCGGCAACTCGGGTTTCTTATAAACACAAAACTTGGGTTGTTTAATCCTGATTTACACCACTTGTGAAGTCTAAACGATTCGTAGCTATGTGCCTTCTGGTACGTTGATGAAAACTCGGTACAGAATGAAAAACGACTTATTCATATCCATCGTACGGTTCATTTGAACTAAATGTGCTAATGTGGAGCTGATGATGATCCTTATCCTATCTTCATTTAACGATCCTGGATAGTGTTCATGAGCATGGAAAACTTACTTCCTAGATCAGGTGCTGACATAACTGGCTCCATAAGAACAGACGAACTGATAAATACAACAGGAAATGGTCAGTCTAGATAGTTTATCCTTCAGTCTCGGAATCACTATTACGCTTGTGGAAAAACGTGATTTGCAATTTAGCAGCATTGAAGTCTTTTTTGAATTGATCTGCGTAGTTTATGAATTCGACAGGCAGATCAATTGTAAAGTGAACCCAAATGCGTACGGACTTCGTGATAGCAGTTGGAATGCCTTTTCTTTCTATTTTTGTAACAATATGTTTTTTTTATAAGTTTATCAGAATAACTATTTCTGATTATTGTGTTGCGTTAGCTGCGTCATCAATTCCTTCTCAACTGTATCTTTCATGATTGAATCCATTGTAAGGGCCATTGACCCTAACCTAGCTGATAACAAGCCAATGGGTGGTGCAGGTTTGGAAACTATGACTCGTTTGTTGGAAATCGCTGTCTTGACCAATCAGTTAATACAGTTTCACTAATTTTTCAATCAAAAGTCACCTAATTAGCTGTTTAAACTAAAACTTTATACGAAGAAGCCAGACTAAGACCTGGTACTAGTCAATGAAGTTTCTTATTGTTGACCTGAGCAGTGCTGACAGATATCGACTGGTTGTTCGAGGTCTGTGAGATGAAAGGAATCAATGGTTGGCGTAGATGTGTTCACTCTTTGATATCTTCGAAATATTCATACTAACCTTTATGTTCAGATTGTTTATTCTCTTACATAACTTTATCTTCTTTGGTATGAGTCTTTTCTCTCCAACTGTTTTTTTGTGTACTACTATGAAGTGTGACAACTTAAACCGATGCATCTGTATGCGAAGTTCTATGTTGATTTTGTCAGTCAGTCAGTCAGTCAGTCAGTCAGTCAGTTGGTTGATTCGAAAATAAATTAAATAAAAAATAATGTTATACTTACGCTTCCAATTCATTCAGTTCTAACTCTCTAACTTGTTCTTTTTTCAATTCGTTTTCAACTAATTTTTGTATAGCTAAAATATTTTCTTTATGTTTACATTTTTGTTCAATAGCAATTTCATGATCTATATTTTCTTGTTCAATTAATTGATGTAACCAATCTAAATCTTGTTTTAATTCATCTTGTATAAATAATGAGCGTCTTTTTAAGGCTGCTTGATGTTGACGTAATAATACACGTCCATAAAGTTCACGTTTACACTTTTCTTCAATTAAATGTCGTTCATGTTCAAGTTGATCAATTTTAGTTAATTGTTTTATTAAAGCTTTTTCTTTTTCTGCCAATTTATTTGCCTAATAAATTGATTAATTTTAATCAAATAAATTAATTTCATTATAAAAATTGAATTAACAGTGTAATGAATTTTGAAGCACACACATGAAATGTTTATATACTTCCTTCTGTTTAAGGAGATCTTCGTCAGCTATAATTCTTCAAACAACAAATCTAGGTCTAAATTATTTACATGGCATGTACGAATGACCTGAGTCTCATAGAACCGATATTACACTTCAATTGTCCACTTAGTCGAAGTTTTCCACCGTATACGCTGATTGTAATTTTATTTGTCTACTCTGTGGTGTCTTCTCAATTCCTGCCATAGATTTTTCGATATTATTGTTATGTCTGATGCCGAGCCTGTTTGAAAACGTGCAGGCCGGGAGTTATTCATGATAGCAATGTACTTGAGTGGCGCATAAGTGTTGCTGTTATAGCTCGCTGTAATTCTCATAGACTTTGGCATAGGATGTCGACGGGATCGGTTTCTGGACCTTGATCAACCATTTTTTCACACTAATCATCTTTGTGTCCAATAGCATGGCGTCGTTGACATTTATGGTATTTGAACGGGCACCATTTTATGTAGTGCCAGCATGAAATGGACGTTTCTGATGCGCTGGGTTCGACGTCGACGGTATTGGATGCATCGCGTGCACTTCTGCTGCACTCTGATGGTCGGACTGAATCAAGGTGGTATCTTGACAAAAGTTGGTTAATCGTTGATACTCTTGTCCAATATCTTTCAATATCATCTATGGACCCTACTCTAGTTTGTTTAAACAGGCGTGTTCGTGTATCGGCTAGTTGAGGGGACTGTAGCCTTCAAACGAAGAATAATACTTAGAAATGGTCTTCTATAAGTGTTTTCAACTCGAAACGTTCACAAGTGCGGTCGACTATACCTAACTGCGTATATCATCGTTTTCGTTCAACATGAGTTTCATGCAGCGAGGACGTTACTATTCAGCCACTCGGTAGGAATCCAACCGGTCCACACTTACCTACTTCTATCAGTTCACGATAAATCTTGACTACTATCCAGTGCAACTGACAAGTATTTGTGCTAGCGTCCGACTCGGTTGACCTCACAGGTTACATCTCCTACTGACTCTCCAGCTGATGTAAGTTTATGATGAATATTACCTTGAAGTCAACAAATCACCAAGGCTCCGAATTGAATTCTACTATCTTTTCGGAAAATGTCTACGCTTTTGAAAAAGGTAATCACAAATGACTTTGCTTGGTCAACGCATCTGTCAAAAATTTAGGTTTCATTAGAGTATATCGCATAACAAAAGATCAATGAAGGGGTTAATCGTAGACTTAAACTAGCCAACCGCATTGTTAATCTGTATCAAATAAGATAACTGGGACACTTTTTATGCGTATGTCAGTCCACCAATATCTTACATATCTACTATTGACTAGAGTAACACTTATCCACATACTAAATAATTGATGCAACATTTGAGTGGGATATTCGGTTCATATCGTAGAAGTGTACATGTGCACGTACAAATGTACGTTATTCTCAGACGATAGGAACACCCTGACCTGATTCACACTTGTCACAACTAACTAAAAGGTTTTCACTACCATTACCTCTCGAGTTATATCTAGTAGTGTATTACAGCAAAGATGCAAATAACTCAGCAAACCTCGTATACCTTGTATAAATCACACTCAATACTCCTTCATATACACTTCTTAATGCATTGTGCAACTTCATCGCTACAAAATGGAACATGGAATTTTGACCTAATCTCAACCGGATGGCGAACACTTTTCAAAAAACAACTTCATATAATAAGTAATCCTGATTTTTAAAGCCAGTTTACGCGCAGATTGCTAATCTGTGCTCAACCAGTCATATTTTAATTAGAGTTATAGTTCAATAAAAATACTTTTTTACTCGATATGCATATAATCTTCACTACAAAGGAACCAGTCAGTCACATTTCTCTCCTCATTTTCTCTTTTAACCTTCCACAAAATAAAGTGGTGAACATCGACCAATAAGTGCTATCTACAAGACCTATGATTTACATTTGCTCTACGGCAGGCTAATTCAGCGGGTGTAGGAAAAACTTTTAAGTGGAAGTTCTCACACCCACCCTGCGACTACCTATGTAACCTATCGTCCAATTAGAATTGATGACGAATCAGATCAACTGATTGGTGATACATGCGTTTCGTCCAGCTGTATCTACGTCTCAGAGAGTGACCATGTTTCCATTGAGCCTGGAACCAGCATCTATCGCTTCAAACTCCAGAGCTAATCCACTAAGCTTAGTACTTCATACTGAAGTTAGTGCTGATGATGTCGCTGTCTAGAAAGACAATGAAAGCTTCACGATTAAACAACCCAGCTCGGAGTACACAATACAACTAAGATGTAGACTACCTTTCTCGGGTCTCCAAAACGACACTAATCAATGGCTGAAGACTATTGATAACATAAGTGAAAATCTATTGCAATTGCGCAGATGTACTCACTCTTTAACGTCTTTTAAAGCTTAAATATTTGCATTATCACCTTCAGATTGTTTTTTCCCTCAAACAACCTTGTCAACTTTGATATAACTCTTTTTCTATGCATTCATTCTTTGTATGTTATTATGGCAAGTGTGGCAGGTTGAACTCATAAACTTTTATGCAAGGTTCCATGCTGATTTTTTCTGTCCATCTGATACTATTCATCTACTTGTTACCGAATCATGCAAGAAGTGATTGAAAATGATAATGATAGAGTATCCACATATAAATACATATACAGCATTTTCAAGGTTACTAGGTTATATCGTTTGTTCACTTGCCAGTAGTGACTTCAGTGATAATCCTTTACGGTGGATATTATAGATAGTATTTCTAGTCAATATTAAATTCTATCAACAGAGAGTCTGTCTATATGTATGTATTATTTGATTCTCATGTATATCATCAAACAATTCATTGTCAACTTACTTCATTCTCACGAGAATTTAATGTATCCAATTGTTTTCGAAGATATTCTAAGTATTTTTCTCTATCCTGTAAACGTTGTAATTCTTTCTCTTCCACTTCTCTCTCTTCACATCTTTTAACTTCTGATTCAATTTCTTCATTGACAATTTGGTCAACTATTTCAGATTGTTTTAACTTGTTATTACAAATGTAAAAAAAATAAAAAAGAGTATTGAATAAGCAAGTATTGGATGAAAACACATTAAATATTATTGGATTACAAAACAAAGCGTAAATGGACAAGAAAACAGTTCTTCAAGATATTATTCATCATGGACTAACATTAGTTGAAGGACCATTGAAAACCTAGAAGGATTGGACACCTGTTTCATCCTAGGATGAAACTCCTCAGTACTACGCACCCATTACTCCACCACGGATCAAATACATAGGACTTCCAGATTTTGCGAAGAATCCGTTAACTATTCAGCTACTGAGTTGAAGTTCATTCGTTGAAAAAAAAAAAATTTTTTATTATTGATGACTTGTAGTTAACCATTTCTGTTTTTTTCTCTTGAGATAGTGAAATACTTTACGTTATAAGAAGTTTGAGTCAAGAGACCAGTGGATAACAGTAATGAATAAGTATCCTCAAGTTTCTCTCCTTACTGACAAACCATTTCATTTTTTTTTTTAATATTGGTGAATCTGTTTCAGAATGATAACGAGGAATTGGATCCAAGCAACTTTTCTGATCACTTTTGAAACCAGTTCATATCACTTGTCTACTTAGAATTTTACCTTCGTTTTTCATGTCTATTTTCTGCAAATTTTTAGAACAGTGAAAAAAATTCCAGTTTCGAATCGTTCAGGTTATCTATCAATCAGATAGATAACTCATTGAAACATTAATATTAGGGTAAAACTTGGACACTGTGGTTGATTGTAATTCCATTTTAGTCTGTTTATTAGAAATATCACACAGTGAAACAGTAGCGTTTACTGGATAACGTTTCGGAAACAATTTTTATTGTCCATGTTCATATAAGGTAATCCTACAACTTCGAGATAGATTTTATATATTCTTAATTTTCTTTCCTTATCTGTGATAACAAGGGTAGTAGAATTATCCACATATATCTGGGACAGGTGAAGAATCACTTCGATTGCATGTATTTGGTGTTGATTCGATAACACAAAGATTCGGTTATCATTGAAACAACTTAGAAGTTTACACCTTTCACTTTTAAGATAAAGTCATCATCTTCAAAACTATTTATGTACATAAATGTGAATTTTAACCGTTTTTACTGCAGGTGCAGTTATGTTTCATCGTTTCAACTATCAACTCATTGGTTCGAACTCTGTCAGGCATCATTTTAATCATTCACCATACAATAAGTTTAGCTTATAGCCTAATGCATCAAATCTCATACATTTCACTTCGGAAGTTCGTGAAGATTTACTGATTTCGTCACGAAGTGACATCAATAGACAATTGTTTCATTCTAATATGAAACTCTTCAGCAGCATACATCATGACTGTACCAGGTTTCGCGAAAAGTAGATTAACATTTAACCACTGAGTTAAAATCCAATGGTCCATATTTTTATTATTCCTATCAATTTTCAAAATGGCGCAACTATCATCCAATGTCATCAGCAGGGATCCACTTCAGTCTTGACCCTATAGGTCATGGTTTCTTAGTGAAACTTCGAGAAATACTTCTGCTTACTTCCTGAATGAAAAAAGTGTTTATTTGTACAAACCAAAAGGTATTAGGTTTACAGGGTTGAATGATAACATTTTATTTCATAATCATTCATCGCCTGCTTACAGTTTAAAATTAAAGTAGTCACTTGAGCATGGTTACATAATCACATACTTTACATCATAAAATAATAAGTGGGAGCATATATTTCTTCTTAAGTCCTGAGAAACATGTTTAAGTCTCACATTTCAATGAAATCCGTTAGTTGAATGAACATAGAGGATCACCAAAATTTGAAAAACTTTCTCCTATTAATTTTCCAATTTAAAAGGGTATCAATAAAATTATATGATGTTGGTTGAAGGTTAAACTGTGTGGTATAAGTAGACATATATATATATATATATATATATATATATATATATATATATATATATATATATATATATCACTATCTGAATATACGAGAAATCCTTATCGAAAAGCACAAGCTAGGATTACGATTACTGAACAAAAATGAAGACATTATTATGCTTAAACCTGAGAAAACACTGTTTGCTTTGATAAATGAATGAAAGTGATTATGTGCATAAGACATCAACAAGTCTCAGTGACTCAATCAAATTTCAATTGTGTAGTACTTAAAATGTGTGGTAATGACATTTACAACAACAAAAAGGAAATAAACAATGTGAAAATAACTTCTCAAGAAGAAACTGACTGTTAACTCAACGTATAATGAACATGTCTGGTCTACCAGAAGTCTCTAAGTCTAATATATCCATAAGATCTATAAAACAAACGTTCACTTCACTATGTTACAAGTTGATCAAATGGTTAGAACAATCTTTATAACCTATGAAGAGTATTTTAGGAGAGGAAAAGACAAACAGATCAAAGTAGAACCTCATACGAAATTGTATCATTTCAAATTTCCACGATTCATAGCCGTATGTAAAGAAAAAGTGGATGAAAGACGCAGCATATCAAAGTAAGTAAATGTATATTATCTAAGATAGATTGACTAGATAAATGTTAAAGGAACTACTCAAAGTCAAGGAATTTGATCCTGGATGGCAAAGCAAAATTACCTATATCTGAGAATAACTGATACTCGTTGTACAGGAGGCGTTCGTCGTGTCCCAGCGGCCCAGTAAGTAACGCTTCGGAGTTTGAGACGATGGGTACTGGGTTTGAGTCACAGTGTGAACAAAAGCACTCACTAGAGTGCAGATACGTCCAGCAGACGAGTCCTAGATAGGACGAAACACGAGCCCAGGATTCCACTGCAATTCGGCAAGAGGAATACAAAATATTCAAGGCTTTTGAGATGATAAACAGCGTATACAACTACGATACCCTGACCGATTCCGAGCCTTATTACAAAAAATGTGAAACTAATGGTTCATGTACTCTCCAGGGCTGTAGCCAGGCAGCCTAAAACTTGCTATATCAGCAGTCTGAGACATCATCATCATCATCATTACTACTTCTTGGTCTTGCCTCCTTTAAACTTCTTTCAACCCATTCCTACTTCGGCTAGCATCATACGTCAAGTTAGACCAGTGGCTTGACATCTAACACAAATGTTCAGGTAAAGACCCTAGCTTCACCGAACGAGTTCCTTTTCTTGCCTAAAACCGATGCCTGACCTCGTCATCACCCACATTGATTCGAATGAATCTGAGCAATGCTGTGGAGACACATGTGAATAAAATTTTGAAATCCCTTCACACCTTCTACTCTCAGTGCCAACATACGACAAAGGGAACTGCAGTATGCGCATCCTTCAAAAGGTAGTCAGGTAAGTTGGCTAACACCGAACGGCTCCTTTGTATACCGCCCGAGTTTCCAATGATAATCAACCCCTTTTCCTTACGCATCTTCCCAGGTAAGTGAGGTGGTAAACACAACTGAACACTTTACTCTCTAACCTCAGATGATGAGTCACTGCCGACCGGTCCTGGGTCAGCATTTTACATTTGATAGGTGAGAAAACTCACGTCAAACATACTCAGAATTCTGCTTAAAACATTCAGAAAACTTTGCATTCTTCTCAACAACTTCAAATTACAGTATCAAGTCATCTGCGTATTCCAACTCACCCAGCAGCATTCCTGGGATTGTCTATTTCTGTAAAGCTGAAGACACCTGTGACTGTACCCATTAACGTGCCTAGCAAACGCTAAAACAAGAACGTTGACAGAGAGAATCCCTAAAAAAACACTTTTCAGTTGTCAATACAGGCAATAAGTTTGCATTAGTCTCTACACAGTTGCCTGAGTTCAAGTAGAGAATTTTGATTAGCACTACAAACTTGCTCGGTACTTTTTTCAGTCAAACACTGCCACAACTCCGCTCAATTGAGAGAGTTGGATTCCATCTACAGACCAAGATATGTGGCAAGTAACGTCAGCCAGTAAGTATTCGCACGCTTGAAAAGCTGTCGCAGCCTGAATACGTGGTCTATGCATCCTCATTCAGATCCCGAACTTGCCTGATAACCCCTGGTTTCTTGTTCTCGAGGTCCAATTTGGTGCCGGATAACAATAAATCCTAAGGCATTTGATGAAATGTAAGCCAAACTGGTCCGCTTATGGCTATCACAGGAAGATTTATCTCTCTCCTTATAGAGTAGAATAATAAATGACGTAGACCACTCTAATGGGGTTACCTCTGATTTCTACACACCACCTATTACCTCTGGACTCTACTTGATAATTTTCTAGCTCCTCCCTTAAAACCTTTTAGTGGTAATCCATCAGATGCTGCTGCTTCCCATCGTTTCAGATTTGAAACAAACTTCCAAACTCCGAGAACAGTAGGCGGAACGACACCTACATCCCATTAAGGTTCGAGCTGGATGCTAGGTAACTGAAGCTTAGCTGCGCACCAGTCCAACCGTTTTCCAAAGTCCGTTTGGAAGTTTCATGGATTTATTGATTTCAAGATGGTATTCATCACGGATTGGAGAACCTAGAACAAAACAGACGTCCAGTGCTCCTGAGTTTTCAATGGTTCTTCAACTTATATCAGTCTGTGATGCTTATTAACTTGAAATCGATAAATCCCCACAGATATCCAAATTGAGTTACAGTCCAATCCTCTTTGGTGAGTTACTTCAAGATAAGACTTCGCGAGGTCTTAGTGATAAGTCGTGACCGGTCAGGTAAACAGATTAGGACTTGAGGATAAATACTCAACGATGGCATTGGATACAGGTTGCACTGCATCGTGAATTGAAAGGAGCAGGAAAATTCGGACTGCTGGATGCTGACCCAGTGACTCAATGATAATGTGTCCACCGCAAAAAGTGGAAAATCTTAGATCCAATTTCTGACGGGGTCAAGGGTGCACGCTACTGAAAATTACCTTACTAGGAAGAAACAGACATCCAGTTTTCTTCAAAGTGTTCTTTCTAATGTCTTCGAATTCTGAATTCAGGGATTATCGACAACCCATCCTGTTCTGTGTTGGTTCTGCTGGTAATCGTTTTCTTGGCAATACCCTTAACGAGCCTGAACAGCAGAGGAGTATTGTATATTTCTGATGCTTTCTCCGTCTCTATCTCTTTTGCTCTGGCCACTAACACTGCTTGAAGTCATTGTGAAGAATCTTAGACAATTTATGTTTGAGATGGTTTCACTTATCATTGTTCTTAGAGGCAACTAGAATGATTCCTCCCACATCAATAAGTTCGGATGGCAGAGCGCAAACCCACTGGATTTCGCAAACCTTAGAATGTAATTCATCAACTGTCATTGCTGCTGTTTCTACAAAAGGTAACACAAACCCAAGCTTCATCAGGGTAATAAGTGCTATCTCTTCGAACAAATGCTTAGCTATCTCTTGCCTAAAAGCACACTTCATGTTCTCACCTTCCAGCAGACCACGGCCAGAAGAAATGTTTGGATTTTCTCGGGAACGACATTGTGTCGACGTATGATGAGACCGCATGGTACCACAAGACCTAAATGTCTTATCTACAAACATACCAATAAGTGAAGCAATCCATATAACCTGTCACTAAATGATCTTTTGCCACCGTCCTGAAGGAGGATGAGACAGGTACTTCTTATTTCCATAAAAGATGTCCAGTTTTAGCTCATTTGCCGCCATTATCCTCAGATTGGTAGGATGACCATGCATTATCCTCTAAGACTTAGGCCATCAGAAATCCTCATAATTTATATTCAACAGACACAAGTAAATTCGGTCATCACAAGAACAATCTATTATTTCAGACACGTTGATGACAGATTTGTCGTTTGCAGTAATATGAACCGTGCGTCTAAATTGTTTGGCAAGCTCGACAAAACTCTCTCTCATTACTTTCACGATAGAATCCCAACATAACAAACGGTTTCACTCTTTTTCAAACTCAATATGAGTAGAACTAACTGTAAGATGGAGTTGATCTTCCACTGGAAATATGTATGGAATTGATAATACGTAAGCTAAAAGTTATAAGTGTGAACCACTCATAACACTTTACAAGGTAACTAAAAACCAACATTCTGCGAAAACGTTACAGGTTGAGGTGGGAATTATTTGAAAAAGTTACACAAAAGGTGCACGCCTTGAGGCTATTTATGAAGTATGGGGAAGAAAAACTAGAAAGAACTAAGCACCGAACTGCTGAAAAAAGCCTTCGATCGCTTTTCCTTTAAGGGTTACATACTATCCGAGAGAACAGACACGAGGATCAAGGAATCACTAAGCAGACTTTTTTCTACAACTAAACTTTTATTGGTATATGATAGTGTATGCTCACTGAACTAGTCAAAATTTTTAGAGATTTTGTACATGTCACCTCCATCTGCATTTACAAACTAACATGTGCCATTATTGGCGAGTACACTGGAAGGGTTACGAGGACAGCATATATTCTGTCCGCTGAGAGAATGCGCAAGAATCTCTGCATGAATGGAAACCAAGTTCTGGCTAGTCCAATTGATATACACGTCTCAGATACAGGACATCTAGTCGATATCTTCGTTGTTTTTGAAATACCTTGAGAGGCGATTAATCCCCCAAAATCAATAGTCTGCGGTTCAACGTGACTCAACAGTAATGCTGACCTTCATAGTTTTAATGAACTGGCTAAGCTGAGGGCACACGGTTAAGCATTCACACCATTTGGCAAGCTATCTTACTACTTTGCGTTGTTCAGACACGATTCTTCAGTCAGTCAGTTGAGCGGTCTGTCAAATATACTATTCCTACCTGACTGCTCTATTGTGTTCTCTCTTTGCTTTGCATTAGTGGGTTATCTAAAACTACGAAGAAATATTGATTGGCTTCTGTCTGTCGAATATGCGTCAAGATAGTTCTTAAGCACTGAATGTACAGAAAATACCTGGACTACGATGCTTAGCAGAAGTAGTCCCTGTAAAACACTTTCAAACGGATCTCTTCATGTAGAAAGAATGTAATTTTTATGTTAAATAATGAGGGTAAAGAGGCAAGGAGCCTTGAACTCAGATTTTGACCCTGTTGATATTCACCAGCAAAACTTGACCGATAGTGCTAAACCCTAGGGTTCAAATGGCTATATCGGTTACTCTCTGGCCACCAATAAGAAAAGAGTGTAATGTATCTGTCACTGTGACAGTAAACATAGTTTGATGTTGTTTTCTGACAATAGCATAATTCCTTATTTTAATCGCCTACTGACTTAAACTCACTCAGTTGATTTCAACCTTATGAATGCCATTTATTGCAAGTATACAGATGGAGTTAGAGTAGGACGTCTTAAATTTCTTTGACCGAAGTGTAGTGCAGCAAAGATTTACACATTGAACTTAATCGCTGGATGATACTACAGCTTTTGATCGCTAGGCAAAGAAGTGGGCATAAACGGTTTTACAAATATGGTCCTGGCATTGATAAGGTTCCCTCTTACACAACTCCACGTCAGTAATCGATGTGCCATTTTCCGTCAAGCTGAACATCTTGAGTGTATGCTGTGATATGATGCCATCAAACATAATTAAAGTATAACTTCTGATGCTAAAAGAAGTATGAGCCTAATGTCATTCAGCGACCAGCAATTGTGGTGCCTGGTTTGGTGAACAACATACGTTGAAATTCCGAAAGCACTTAGATGTACTCTGTGAAAACAGTTTCTTTCAAATACATTTGAGCGATACGACTAGGCTTCTAGGCTTATACACTGGTGAGAAAAACTACTTGCTTCGACAGACAGATTTTCAACTTACTGTGTTACGCTCGTTTAATTGTGTCCTCCAACAGTCTACCAGATCATTTTGATTAGCCGCTTGCGCTACCCCTCTTAGATCTGGATTGTTTTTCCTGAAATGTTCAGCTAAGAGGGTTTCGGCAATCTGAAGAATACCATTAAATACATCAACAGCTAACCTTTGCCTTTTCCGAGTCACGCGCCTGCTTCAGCGCGGTTGATCGAATCAACATAGCTGACTTATCTTTATAACGTTCAGAATACGCTTCTAGCAAATTCTTTAAGCCTAGGCCAGATCACAGACAATGTTACCTTCTCCTTTTCGGCATCATATTCTAAAAGCTGGAGCAATTTCTTCTTCCTGTCTTCTAAGCGTTTGTCATGGTGTTCCTTGTTTTGCTCAGCATACGCGTTTAAGCTAAAAAAACTCTGAGTCTACACTTAGCATGACTTACCTGTGCTCTAAGTATTTGCTAGACGACCACTGCTTTTCTTTTTCCGCTCGCACAGTTGAGCAGTTAAGGTGGTTAGAATATTTCTCCCACTGCATAAAGTTCTCAAGTTCATTGGCCCTTTTCCGCATCATCATATCTTCGTATCTCAGAAATTTTGAATGACTGAAACTGCCTATTCTCGGCAAACTAACCATCTCTAACGTAAATAAATATTTGAACTCCCTACATATCGAAGGACATACTGAAGGAAATAATGAAGAAGACAAACAATACTCAATACCTATATTACAAGCTTACATTCAGTAAACAAACTTCTTCATGCTCACTTCTGGGTCTTATAGAATGACTAAAAATCTCGAGTGGACTTCCAATCTAATAGTGAGTATTGACGGTGCGAGCGTAGAAAACTGATAGTTTTGATCTCTCGCATCTAGTTCTCAGGGATTGGTTCGGGTTGTTTGGTTCGCTCATGCAGTGGGTGGGGAAATCCCCTCTGCTTTGTTACGATTAGCCTCAGCGAGTCGGATGTTTCGTGGGTTAGCAATTTGTAATTTGTAGTGATTGGGGAGCTCCGGGTTGCTGGGATGGTTGCTGGACTATCGTGACTACTGTCTGTGTAGGTACCTGAAAGAGAATGGTGAGGTAGTCGTAAAACAATGGAAAGAATCCAGTATCCAATATCTTTTTTACCAGCTCGTGTAAACCAGTTGATTTCTTCTTGCTCGCTTCTTGGTCTTGCGGGACGGTTCCAGGTCTTTGGCGGATTCCGATGCAGCAGATCCAGCCACTCGTCTGCTACAGCTCTGATTTACAGAACAGGAAGCTAAGCGTTGGTTTGTTTGCCTTGAACTGTGGTGCAGCTGGTTTCTTCAGGTACCGAAGTGCCAAACATTTTTCGAACTGGTCGCTAGAGAGTGTTAGGGATACTGAAGAGAAAACCTAGAAAGGTGAATTTGTGTGAGTAAACAGGGAGAAGAAAAGTGAAATAATGGAGTAATCTTACACCCAAGTAAGGAGAGGGGTTGCAAATACATGAAGAACTTAGGTAAGTGAGGCTAACTCATGGCATGTGGAAGGGATAAAGAGGGCTTAAATAGTTACAATAGAAAGAAAGTGGTTGCAGAGTTAAAATAGTTGGGGTGGCTTGATATCGGCTGATTTCTTCTGTTTAGTTAGTGCTTCGGCTATATGTGGGTAGACCGTAGGTCTTTGCGTGACTGCCTAGCCTCTTCTTGAGGCTTTCAATGGTTGGGGCAGAGACCACTTCTTCCGGTAGTGCGTTCCAGTGCCCGCAGACTCGGAGGGAGAAGTGTGAACGCACATAAGTTTTTGACCTTTGGTGAGATATTCTGTGGGGATTTCCTCGAGGATCTCCATAGTGGCCACTCGGTAGTATTCCTCTGTTTGAGTGACTCGGGTTATTCAGTATGTTGTAAGCTATCATCAAGTCACCTCGTAACCTTCGTTGGATATGAGAGTATAGCCCAGGTCTTTCAGTCTATCCTCAAGTGGTTTTCGCTGCATCCCAACAACACATTTTGTGGCTCGCCTCTGGACTTTCTTCAGTAGGTCAGTGCCACTTTTCAGTCGTGGTGGAGTGAAGACGTTATTAACCCCTAAGTTGGGTCGTGTGTAAGTCTCGTAGAGCTTCAGAAGAAGCTCCGGTGTGAGGGCATCTGGTTGTCTACGCACATTGTGCAGTACACCATATGCTTTTGAGGCACCACCTGGGTAACTGTAGCTTGTGTTCAGTTTATACGCCACCGTTAAATTCAGTGCTTTTTCTGCTGTGGTATGGGATAGACGTGAACCGCAGAGATAGTAGGATACTTTCTGGGGATCAGGAGTGCGGAAAAACATTGACCGGCACTTATCTAGGTTAAATGCCAGGTCGTTATAAGTTCCGCATTTCCCTAGTGTTTTGATGTCATTCTGTAATGCATTCAGTTCCGCTTCGCAAGTTATTGGCATCCATGACTTGACGTCATCGGCGTATGGGAGAAACGGAGAGCTGATATGTAGTGGCAGGTCATTCACGAACAGTAGGGACAACAGTGGACCCAGAATCGCCCCTTGTGAGACACCGGATGAGGGTGTTCTCCAAGTTGAGTAGGCCCTATCGACATTCGTGCAAAACTCCCTATTGTACAAATAGTTTTGCAGCCACGATAGCACCTAGCTGCGTATACCTGACTCAGCTATCATGTGCATTAGGATCGTGTGTGAGACAGTGTCGGCGGCTTTGGAGAGGTCCAGAAAAATTGTGTGGACCGGGACCTTGACATCCCAGCATGCTGTCCAGTGATCGTGGGTCGTCAGGAGGGTGGAGGCACAGGACCTACCCTTCCGGAAGCCATGGTGAGCGTCAGTGAGTGCTTGTTTTTGTCCAGATATTCCCTGATACGGTGGTCCGTCACACTTTCCACAACTTTTGATATGACTGATAGGAGTTCTATGGGTCTATGCCAGTTGGAATTCTGCCTGTTTCCTCCTTTGAAGATGGGAGAAAGGATGGCCCGTTTCCACTCTCGTGGGAGCTTTTGTTCATCCAAGGAGTGCTGGAAGAGATTGCAGAGCGGGTCAGTTAGGGTACCCGCACATTCTTCCAACAGATGGGCGGATGTCGTCGCACCCTGAGGACTTTCCCGCGCTCAGCCTTGATAACTTAGCTTGCCGAGGACAATAGCGCGAGTTATCAATATTTCATGTAGCTCCTCAGTGTTAGGCAACGCTGGGGGCTGTTTGGGCAGTCGGTATGCGTACTTTCCTGATGGAATGTTGAGCTGTATGTCAAATATGGTGCTCCACATTTCGGCGACCTCCTGTCCAGAGACGTTTTCTCCGTTCGGACCTTACATGAAGCATACTCCTTGGCTTGTCGATTTTCCCTTTGCCATGAATCGGTGCAGGTTTTTCTGGTTGCCCTCAAGCCTCTTGGCGTCGTTGGACTGGAACGACCTCCTGTCTCCCTGCGCCCTGATGTTGCCTTGATTCGTAGAGCCATAATAATTATAATATTTATCCCTGAATATACAGGAACACACCGTCTTTACAGGTATGAATAAGTTCACACATAAATTACATATATCTTCACGGAAGGTAATCTCAATCCCACCCGCTGTCACCAGAAGATGTAAGTGCAGCACGTTCGTATAATGGAACATCCCAACAGAATAAGTGTACAGAAAATTTACACGTTGGACAAGTGGAAGTATTGTCCGCGCATTAACAAAAAACCGGGTTTGTATCTAGACATTACAGGTATTACCTGGAGAAAAATAAAGCTTGAAGCCAATACTTCCATTGTAACAGTCTGCTTTTTGCTTGAGATAATGGCGAAAAGTTTATGAAGGAATGTATGCACGAATTGTTTACATACTGTACTTCATTGATGGTTCTAGGACTGTATAATTCATGCACGTTAATACCATTCCACGACAAAGATTCATAATCTCGGTGAATATTGTGACTGAAAGCCAAATATTTTCACTTTTCCAACCCCAGCATCCAGAGGCAACAGACTTGTTTGAATGCTCCAAATGGGCTCCCAGGACATCTTGTCCTTCTTTTTCACGGATCGTGACAGCCTTGCAGTTGGTAAGTGTTGGACTTTGCTAGTCCTTTTTGTAACGAGTAAGTCCTAGATTTTGACGATATGAAGTTGTTATCCAGTGAGCATTTTTATTTCTGCTTGTTGTAGTTAGGTATTCTGAACGTGGCAAAACTGGTTGCCCTCCACGAAGAGTATGTTTGCGTCATGGTCTTCCTGTTCCCTGGAGAGTCCCTATGCGTGCCATGCCCTTCTCTTGGCTTTTGTAGGGCGCTCAGTGCCCCATTTTAGCCATGAGGTTCGCTTTCTGGTTGTTGATACCGCCAAGGGGAAGTTTTGCGAGATGGCCACCTTAATAATATCTTTTACCAGTTCCCAGTGTTGGTCGACCAATGAGGAAGACCAGTCCACGGGCCACGGAGCTCTCGATAGGCCTTTGTTCATACCTTCGTGTTTTGCCCTGTTGTAACAGAGGCAAGAGCGGGGTCCCTCCCAAGATAGTTTTTCACTGATTACCAGGTCGAACAATACCATAGCTTGATCGCCACTTCCAAGAGGAGTTTGTGCCCGAACGTTTTCAACCAGGAGGTGATCACTAGCCCTTTTTGTAATCTGGTTTAGATGTTTTACCATCTGATCTCCAGTGGGTATTGCTGCTGATCTTTTCCTATAGTCCAGCAATTTGGACGGAATTTAGCAGGTTACAGTCAAAATTCCGGCTCGTAGTCGTGCCACATTGCCCTGGGCTGAGGGCTGGGGCGTTCAGGTCACGAGCCACTAGAATCTGGTCGTGCCCTATGGCTGACACTGTGGATATTACTGGGAGCAGTTTTTAGTTGTGTTCTGAGTTGCTATTAGTGAACCTATAGATTCCGGACAAGGTTGAAACGGAGAGATCGGAGCTCTGACATTTTACTTCGGAGTTTTCTCACCCTGCTGGAAGCGCTTCTCGTGACCCGAGATGTCTCTGGGTTAACTAGCGGCACAGGTCTGGATGTGAGGGCTTCTACTGCCTGGCCAGTTCCGCCGAAACTGGCCCAGTTAAGTTTTTTCTCGGGTAGATTGGTGCACTCGGTGTCTGGTGGAGGCCACCAGTCCGATGCTCAACGTTTCGGTTTAGGGTTACGGTGGCCTGAGCACAGGAAGTGATTGCCGCCTGTTGTTGCAGCAGTGTCTTCGGTCCACTTTCACAGAGGCGAACGTTACCGCCTATAGTGCTCTTGACTTTGTACCACGTCTCTATCACTCTGGTGAGTACTTCTGGAGATTCGAAGTTGACAGCCATTAGGCTAGGTGAGGTCGTGGTTGTCAGATGCGAGGGGTGTGGCAGTCTGCTGACTGCCGCAGTTGCAACCTCACTCAGCTCCATGCAAGCCAACAGCCACTCCCAATGTCGGACTTCATGGGCGTACTTGTCGCCCAAGGTACCGGTCACCATTTTAGGTATTCCATTTACGACCACGGTTTTGGGTTTTAGTGGACCAGCTGCTTCTAAAGGCATCTTTGTTAGCACCCGTGATCGGTCAGGTCTAGCTGTAATGTTGGACGATCTGTTGACGACCAGGGTGTGTGACAGTAAGAAGAAATTTTCAGCGTCTCTAGTTGAGCCTAGAGTCACTCTCATTGGTGGAGGCTTCCCTGTGGGCAAGTGGGTGCCTTTTACAGTCGACACAGTTTTACCTCGAGAGCACCCGGAACTATAGTGGCACAAAAGAAGTTCTATTGCTGCCTGTCAAACTTGTCCTTATGCTCTAGAAGGCGATTTCTCAGACAGGAACGTTAAACGGGATGACAGAGCTAG